GTTGAATTGATCTACCCATGTTCCATCCTCAGATGCATTCTGTCTTAGCAGCTGTTGTTAGATTAGACAGACTTTACAGGTAAAAACCCAGGCAGGGTGAATTTATATTGGAGTTGAGATTCGCTGCACTACCAAGCTGATCAAAACCAGGACAGCTGGAAACAACAGTGAATTTCCCACAACGCTAACGTTTACATCTCATCTGATCTCTTAACTGTATGACCTTTCACATGCATGCACAGTAAATATTGTTTGAAATTAATAACACTTGAAATCTCGGTATTTTGGCAAAGACTGACTTGTACGGTACAGTTTCTTATTAGGTTGAATGGGACGTTTGCCAACATTTTCTAAAGCTTGTCCAACAGAACCCTTTCTCACTGTGGTAATAATCTTCTTTTACCTATTTTCGATAGTGGGAAAGAAAACTTGATGACAGGAGGCAGCTGAGGATGGTCCCTTTCATGCTGAACTTCTTGAGAACGAGTTTTGAGTTTTTTCTCCAACGGCTGATGTTGCAACTTCAGTAGTTAGTAATGGTCAGTTGATTGTGAAACTGTATCAAACCGATTATTTATAGGAATTTAAGATTGTAGCGTTTGTACTTTATTAATAAGCAGGCATTTTATATTGTGTGGATGAGCTACTGTTCAGTTCTCTCTATTGTTTTTCTACAAGCGGGAGTCTGACATTTGTCTCATAACCCAGCATTATGATACTGAACCACATGGGAGGATGAAGGTCATTATCAGATGATTATCAGCTGTGTGTGCGTGCGTGTGGAGGCGTGTGTGGGTGTGTGTGGTGGATCTGTAATGACAGTGTGAGTCAGATCTCTGTCGGGATGTTGTGTTTATGGTGAACATGTGTTTCTTAAGAGAATGAGCAAGAAAGAGAGAGATGGGCAGAGAGAGAGAGAGAGAGGCAGAGAGAGACACACACAAAGAGAGAGGAAAGCAGTGTGTTCTCCAGGTGTTTGCTTTCCTCTTCCCTCTCTGTACCCTCCCACACTAAAAGCTGTGACCTACCTCTGTATGGAATGCACTCACTCTCTCTCTCTCTCTCTCTCTCTCTCTCTCTCTCTCTCTCTCTCTCTCTCTCTCTCTCTCCACATTTCAGACATATCTAAGCTCTGTTCCTAACAATCTCTTTAATCTCCCTGTGTGCCAGCAGAAGACAGCTCTTCATAACTCTGGCATGAACTGCCAGAAGTCAAAAATTTGAAGACATCTCGCTTTTCAGAATGTTACCACCGTGTTTCTTTTGTCTGTTTGCAATGACTTTGCATTTTGAACAGTGTAGATTTTGCCATTTTTCTTTGTAAAACTGCAGAACAGAAGCCACTGTTGGAAATAAAGGTTCTGTGCAGGTACATTTTTCGTTCATCAAGGTACAAACAATGTAAATGAACCCTCAAAGGTACATCAGTGGTTTTAAGGTCCAATTGTTTACCTTAAAGAAGTTTAAGGTAAGTCCCAGTGGAAAAGTGTGTATTTGTACCTTTTCATAATCTAATGTTTGAAACAGAACAATAAAATAAAAAGCCTTGACACAAGATTAATTTCAGTGGATTATGGTACAATTATGTTCCCTGACTAAAGGTACTGAGGTGTACCCTTGAGAGTACCACCACCATGACAAAAGGGGTGCTGCCCCTAGGTTTCGCACCTTTTTTCTGAGAGTGTACTTTGGGAATAATGCTGTACCCCACCCATTTTATCTCTTTGTTATGATGTCAGCACTCATCAGCACTCACCCTTACAGGTGTTTAAACCACCTCTGGGCCGAAAGAGCTTTGTTGGAATCCTCGCAAATTGTCCAAAACCTGCTGTTTATACCAAGTAAGACAATTTGATCATCATAAGTTGTCAAATATACCCATATTTGAGGGTACTGCAATACAAGTTATGGCAATATATATTCAGAATACAGAATACAGGCACCAGGCGGTGAGAGCCATAATAATGTTGAGAATTTTCATAAGTGAATTTTTCATGAAACATATTAACAAAAAATTACATGAGGAAAACTGCCAACCAGTAACAGTGAGGAACAGTATGAATGCAGTATTCAGCCATCATTGCTTTCTGAAAATATTCTGCCCAACACTGAATATATCCAAAGTTAGTGTTGCAGTCAAGACCACTAGAGGCGAGTCAAAAGCGAGCCCTGGACTGATTGAGACTAGACCAGGGGTCAAGGTAACGCTGAGAACAGAGGAATCTCACATTAACAACTGAGATGAATAAACCTCTTGTACAGTCATGACCACCTACTACTGCACCAGTTAGCTCTAGTGTAAGCTCATTAGCTCATTGTAAGGAGCGACCTCTGTTATTCAAGCAAAGTGTCCAAAGTATCTCCTTGGCTGTTTTTACATGATAAGACATTTTCAGAAGTTTATCTTTCATGCCGCTGAATACTTTAGCATGCCAACACCAGTGCAGCAGTTGTTTGTGTATTATGATACATTAATATCAAGTGAAAAGCATGTTTTTATCTTCCCTGCAGGTGAACAAATTTGCATTTACCAAATGCATACTCGATTATCCAAATGAGTCTTGAATATCAGAAAGAGTTAGAATGCACATCCCTGCATGCTGTTGCGGAAATAAAATGAGCATTTTTCTGAGGCAAGCTAACCAGTGTAGTATATAATGAAAGCTCTGCAGAATGAAGACATTTTTAACACCTAAAATATCAAAAGTCCAGTTGAATACTGACCACAGAGGCACTTCATTACACTAGTGTCCCCCGACTTTTGACGAGCAGCGTAGGCTATACATGGACACAGGCCAAGCGTTCCTCAGTCGCTGCCCACATTAATGATCGCAAAGTCACCCAACAAATCCAGCAGCTTTCTACACTGTAGGGAATGAAGAAGGCGGCTGTAGAAGTTTGCGTGTAGTTTTTGGGCAAATGAAAAAGTAAACCTGCTGGCTTTAATCGTCTTAAAGACAGCATATGCCGTCTTCTCTTTGATCAATCACAGCCTGTTTGAGCTTCGATCCAAATAACAGTGAGTGTGAATGGATAATAGGTATTTGGAGAACGTCCTCATTTTGTACATGCATTTGGTGTTTCTCAGTGTGTTCTCGGATACTTGTGTGTAAGAAAAGTGTGTGAGCTGTATAGTATTTAACAGGCTTATATCATACTACTTTTAATGAATTACTACCAGAGATAGTTGGCTTACCCTAAACTCATACTCAGGTAAAGCATTGTTCATAGTTCAGTGTAATAATGCTAAAATAGCTTAGGAAACAGCAACTTGGGTTAAGTTTTAGCTGGTAAATAAACTCTTTCTGAGTTTCCTTTTGGTCTAAAATAAAATGCTAAGGCTTAAATTCAGAGATGTCTTATTATATAGCAATACATAGATTTCAGATATATGACGTGGCTTTCCCTTATATATGCAATTAATAATTAATATTTGTCACTTATGGACATTTATATAACATACTTTTTTTCAAATATTGAAAAATATTTTCACATATTTATATATATATAAACTCTCTATATATATCTCACTGCTGTTGGAACAAAACCTTGTATCTCCATTTTTGTTGTTTTTCAGTTTTTGACAGTTTCTGCTGTCTTCTACATTGTGTGTAAATTTCATGATGAATGGACCAACACAAATGACCCAAAATTACTTGGAAAAAAAGTCTGGTTTCATTGTCTTACATTAAAGGTAGAGTGTTTTTTCTCCTGTAAAGTTCTCATTTTGGAGATACAAGGTTTTGTTCCGACAACAGTGATGTATATATATGTATATATACCATTTATTTATATCTTAATTATTTAATTATGCAGATATTTAGAATGGCAGAATTCAATTTAATTATGTGTAACAGTTAATACTGACCTCTAGTAGCTAATGAAACTAATATTAGTGATTAATGTTAGTTTAATATTAGTTAATAATGTCATATTTAAGTTTGTTTTCTGTGGAGGATGTGTTATTTTCTCTTAGTAAATCAACAAATCATGTAATGTGACCCAGGGTGTTCAAACTTTTGCATATGACGGTACATAGTTACGAGTGGAACTGAAGTGTGGACATATAGAGGCTCTAAGGGCTTGAGGGCTTGAAACAATGCCCAAAATCACAGATAGGCCCATCAGCAAAACATCCTTTGAGAATGTTCAGAGGTTTATGGTCATTTTCTTTGGAAGAAGGTGGTCTTGATTGTGTTGTATCTAAAGCTTCATTTCATTTCTCCTTCTTCCCTTTCTGCATATCTCATTGGAAGTTTTCAGTTTCCTGTCTCCAACGTTCACAGACTCACTTTCATCCATCCCTCCATCTTCTTTCCCTCTTTGTTGTTAACTTTACGTCTTCTAAATCGCTCTCATTTCCTCTCACTCTGCTGCAACCTCACACACATCTGGCTGCCTCTTGCCTTTGACCACAGAACACACACCCTCTCTTCTTTCTCTCTCTTTCTCCACTCTTTCCTTCTGTCTCCCTCTCTCACTCCTCTCTGTTACTCCTTTCTTCCTCTCTCTCTCTCGGTGTGTCCCAGGGTCTGTTCACTTTCCTGACTGGGTGATTTGACATTTTTTCAGCCGTGCGACAGTTTTTATTTCCATCATATTTGACCTCTGTGTAAACATACTAGAGTTACACCGATATTTCCAAGTCTTATTTTTTTTTCCTGGAGCGATTTTTACTCCCCTCTGGGATTTATTTATGTGTCTGACTTGTCTGGCCTCCCTTTAGACGCTTTTATTCATCCATAGCAACTCTTGGACCAGCTAATGTTTGTCTTTCCTTTAACCATGTAATTCGAAGTGACACAACCAGCATTTTGTAGCATGATGGTTTCTGCTGAAGGCCGTATTTATGTGCTAAAGTGCATGTGTTGCTCACCAGCCTTTAAAATGTCCTCGGCATTTCCATTTTATTTATGTTACTACATGAAGTACATCCCTGTGTATGTGTGTTTTTGTGTGTTTGTGTGTGTGTGTGTGTGTGTGTGTGTGTGTGTGTGTAGGGCCTGTGCCAGTGTCGCCCGTCAGAGGGAAACTGTTCCTGCTGTAAAGAGTGTATGCTGTGTCTGAGCACGCTGTGGGAGGAGTGCTGTGATTGTGTGGGTGAGTTGATAATGATCACTGCAGTGAAATCAAATGAACAACATGAACATTAATAACAGATATAATAACACACAGCACTTCCTCCACATTACTGAGTGTGTGGAGTCTGCAGTTATGGTGTGCTGCTGTTATATACATATGATCCCCTCACAGCATCAGATGTGGAATAACTAGTCAAGGTTTCCAATGACACGACTTCCTGTTTACAGTGTTACGTTTTTTTTTACAACACATAGAGTAATACAAGTAATTGGAAATGATCAAAATGATTGTTTTGGCTCAGTACTCCCATCACTGTGACTATGAGATTTAAGTGACTCTGCTTTAAATTGTCCTGTGTTTTATATACAGTCCACTCCAGAATTATTGGAACCCTTTATGAGTTTAAATGAGCTTAAATCAATATATTAAATAAACCACATATGCAATGAGTGGTTTATATATAATGAAAATAAAAACATATATATTGTGTTTATATATATACATTATATATATATAAACACTTCTTTAGCGATCTTGGACTTCCTCCACTCAGAACGATTCCACTTCCTTGATATTCATTGGTCTTTGCTTGTAAACTTCCCTCTTCAATGCACACCATAGATTTTTAATTGGCCCAAATCTGGAGACTATGAGGACCACTGCAAAACTGATTTTGTTTTCCTGCAACCATTTCTGTGTGGATTTTTATGTGTGTTTGGGGTCATTATCTTGCTGAAAAGTCCACCCACAGCAAACCTTCTGGCAGAGTCAGGCGAATTTTAGCTTAAAATATCCTGGTATTTAGTGGAATTTATTACGCCATTGGTGGTCACTAGAGCCCCTGGGCCAACCCCAAAGCATCAATGATCCACCACCATATCTGACAGTGGATATCAGGTGCTTTTCATTGTATGCAGTTGCCAAACATAAACAAAAGATTTAATTTTTGTCTCATCTGACCACGTCATATGATTCCATATGTAGTTCCAATGACATTCTGAAAAGTTCAGGCTCTGCTCTTTAGGAAAGGCTTCTTTTGTGGAACTCCTCTAGAAAGCTTCTGGTCATGGAGGTGATGTCTGCCAGTGGCTGAACTAAACTGTGCAGTTCTGAAACTGTGATCTTTGATTTTTTTGTGATCTTTGAGATTTCTGATTTTTTAATAACCCTCTTCTAATCTATTCTAGTCCACAACCTTCAGTCTCATTTAAATGGACAGCTCTTTGTTTTTACCCATGTTAATGGATGACAAGGGGATTTGACTAATAGATAACTAGTATATATCACCTGATGCTTTGTATCTTCTCTGTAGTCTAGCCATTTTCAGTTCATGCTTGTTTTTGGAGCTTGTTGCCATGTCTTCAGTAAGTGAAATGCATGCTCAGTGGGGTTCAAGGCAGATTACTGAGTTGTCCAGTCAAGAACATTCCACGTTTTGGCCCTGAAAAACTCCATAGCTGCTTTAGTAGTGTCTTAGGGGTCATCACCCTGCCATAAACTGAAGTGAATTTTGAGGTCTGAATCTGAGTAGTTGTACCCCTGTTCACTCTGAATTCATTCTGTCATTGCTGTTGGCAGTCATAAAAAGACAGTTAAACCAGTTCTGCTAGCAGTCGTATATGCCAGTACCACCATGTTTCGTGAGGTGGTTTGTTGTGGATCCTGAGCAGTTTCTATTTTTTCTCCACACTTTGTTCACTCCATCACTCTGGCACAGGTAAACCTTCATCTCCATCTGTCCATAAGACTTTGTCCCAGAACTGTACAGACAGTGAGCTTGCTCTTTCTGTTCTTGCATCTTCTGGTGGACCCTGAGATCATCCTAACGCAAGTGTTCAAAAGTTTGGAATCACACAAATTAATAACTGCTTTTATTCTATTTAGTAATGTTTTAAATAGCATGGATAGAAATACTATAACTTAGACTATAACTAGAAACTATTTCAAGATGTTTTATTTAATGTTTAATGTGTTTGGGAACATCAAGAACCTACTAAATGAGAAATAATATACTAAATCTATCTATTTATAATAATTCCTTGCCCTGAGATTTGACTTTTCACATTTCTTTTACAGCTACTAATTAATTTGAAACACATGAAAATGTAGAATAATATTATATAATAATAATAATATTAGCATTTTATACAGGTATCTTTAACAAATTTGTTTTGTATTATTTGATGTAGTCAGTCCAAATGTTTGAGTGGTGATTCCAAAGTTCTGAACGGTGGTGTGCATTACATTTATTAATTTAACACACCTTTTATGCCAAATGACTCACAGTTCAGGAATGGTGTACATTTTTTAACAGCATACATCAGTATTCAGCATCTCTTTTCAGTCTTTGACACAACTATGCTGCATCCTGGATCAGTCAACAGTTTGTCTTTATGATTGAAAGTATTCTTCAACCTTCCAAGTCTTTCATCTTCTGCCAAGTTTTTTTTATTGCTAAGCTCACCAACCAGAGTTTGGGCTGTGCCTCAGATTGATTTTTTATGGTTTTTATAAAATATAGAAATAAAAAATCAGTCTATTGTTCAGTAACTTATGGTCCAGGTACTTATTGAATAAAAAGGAACTGGGATTCATATGGTTCACTCAATGTGTGCAAATATAGGGGCAGGAAAGCTCAGATGGTTCAAACAACACACACGCATGTCCATAAATATTTGGATGTCAACAAAGATGTTTTGTCTACCGCAGCATATTGAGGTTAAATGGAGTTAAATAATGAATATGATCTCAAAGTGAATATAATTTGAGGATATTTTGAACAGTGTAGGAATTACAACCGTTTTAATACATAACGCCCCAATTTTTAGAGGCTCAAAGTATTTGGATATTTGGCTGCTCAGATGCTTCATGACCAAGTGTGTGTTACTCCTTCATTATTTCACTTATAAGTAAGCAGATAAAAAGGAGGCAGGCGTATCTGTGTCAAAGTCAAATATCAAGAGAACACTTCACCAGAGTAAATACAGATGGTTTACCACAATATGTAAACCATTGGTAAGCCTCAAAAACAGGAAAACAAGAGTTTGCCACAACACCTAAAAAAGCCTGTACAATTTGAAAAAAAAAAGATCAACCAGAATGATGGGAAGTGAAGAGTATGGAGGGGAAAAGGAACTGATCATGATACAAAGCATGCCACCTAATCTGTCAAACATGGTGGAGGTAGTGTTATGGTTTGGGCATGAATGGCTGCCAGTGGAACTGATTCCTTTGCATTTATTGCTAATATGGATGCTGGCAATCTGAATTATATTGGAATATATTATCTGCTCAGATGCAGCCAAATGTTTCAAAACTTATTGGACTCATTGAGGAAGTTGTAACATGTGGTTGCATTGTTCACAAATGGTAGGTGCTGAAAGCAGAATTTATGTTTTATTTGTAGCAGAGATGTGTAAGTTGTTTGTATTAAAAGTCTTGCTCAAATATTAAATATTGAAATATTAATTTGCAAAAAAAATACCCCGAATTAGTAGAGTTCATAACATTTCAGACTTGAACTGTAGACTAAAATCCTTTTGCTTTCCATGATTTTATACCTTAAATTTGTTTATTTTATTAAACTAATGAATGAACATTCCATTTTGTCACTACCAAAACAATCTCAACACTGTTAAAAGCGAATGTTTCAGTAGTGACAATTTTAGCTAAGTTTGAGCATAATTCAAGAACACTAGCCAGCATAGGACTAGCAAATACTGCTTTGAATAATTGTACACACATAATATCATAATGTTTTATTTAAAAAAAACAAAAAAGTCACTTCATTGCAGAAAATCTGTTTCGCTAATGACAATTCTTACACTCTGAATTTGTAGACTTTGAGATACATTTACTTCAAAACAATGGGATCTAACTGCTCACCATGTGGCCATGAGGGCCAGGGATGCAGTGTCACTTCCTGCTCTAAAATGCAGGGGTGTGGAATAAGGCTCTGCCTAAGGATTAAAACTCTTTGTGTTTTGGTAGAGACATGAAAAAAAAGTTTGTTTTTATTTTAAAAAATAAACTTATAATTAACAAATTTTAACTTAACTTTAAAAGAATTAAAAAATATATTTGAGATTATTCTAAAACATTTAAAAAATGTATTATTTTTAGAAGTTGAAATTTTGTGATTTTGTCACCTCCAAGTAGAAAGAACTCTATGAATGATGATTTTGTATATATTTAACTTATTACTGTCTCAATTAATGACTTGAGTTTAAATAGTTCATAACATAATCCTTGTAAATATCTAAGGTCTGAATACTTTGTTTTTTTTTTTTATATATTTTTTTTAACTGTGGGACCACAGTTAGAACTAATATGGTAGAGAGGTCCATATTTACCCATTTTGACCAGAAAGCTATATTCTACACTTTAACCTCACTGTTTCAATTCAGTGTGCTGGAGTACAGAGTCAAAACAATGAAAATGTATTTACTGCCCAGTTACTTGTAGACTGCATCAAATAACTTTAGCGTCTTCTTATATCTGTTCTACATGGCCAGTGTGCTAGCGTACAGCGTATTAGCAGTGAGAATGATTTGGACAGAGCTTCAGTGCCAGCTCATTCTCTCCTGACAGAGAAGAAGGTGTGAGCTGAGAGGACCAGATGCAAGAATCTCCCTGTAAAGGAATAGTTTGACCAAAAATGACCATTCCTTTAGCCTCAGCTTTGAGAAGAATTTGCCAGCCTATTCATGATAGTAAGATGTAGTCTCGCTTTGCAAAGTATAATGCTTTGTTAATTATCACCAGTAAAAATTAGAAATGGCACATAATACCACTTTTTCTTTTCTGATACTGAAACCTTGAATATATGGTACATATCTGATTTTTTTCCACTGCGTTCTAAAATGAGCTTATTCAATTCAATTTGTAATTGAAGCACTTCATTTCAGCCCCCAGTAACAGTAAATGCCGGTTTACAAAACCATCATTCGTTTATTGATTTGATGCAAACCTTTATTAAGACATTAAGATTCCCTCATGTGAACATAACTGAACTTATAAATGTGTTTAGTGACGAGATATTCTACACTAATACCACAATCATTTTACCTAACACAGAAACCATTGTTCTGAAACTCCAGCTGTTGAAATGCACTGGTTGAATAATCTCAGAGTGGAGGGGAGGGGGGCACTCTGTGCTGTTGCAGCATGCAGATATCATGCCTGTACAAAAAGCCATTAGGTTACGGTGTATGTTTTACAATGAAAAAACTTAAACTGTGTTTTTTGATAAAAATTTAAATTGAGTATTGAGAGCAGAACCGGACAAAAAGAAAGATCTTTTTCTAAAAGCAAAGACAACAAAGCTGCTGCATTTTCCCAAAGACATTTCATTGGTGGACACTGCCAGATAACATTTATGTATGTACTAACAGTGACCAAAGAGCACTTAGAACACATCTTGTCAGAAGTAAGTCTTGTTTGGAATGCGTGGTAAGGAGTGATATAAAATATATGTACAAACTTTCTATACATATTGCAGTAAGTGTTCGGTGCTAGAACTGATCACACTGTGTGAGGTCACTTTGCTTGCCCACCTACAAAGACAAAAATCAATTTGCGCCCAGCTTTGTAAATCATGCAAATAAATATGTAAATCATGTAAATAATTTCTGTCTAAATATATTCCATCAACATTATTGAAGTGCTTAGTGCTAAAACTGAAGGACCAAAGCAGACAGAAATTGCATTTTAGGGCTACTGTAAAAAGGGGTTCAAATACGTTCATGGCAAAGAGGTACATGTAGGGTTTTGTAAGGCAACATAGTCCCTGAAGAAACAAAGGAAAATTTTAGATTTACAACAATTTTACTATTATCAACATTACAGATAAAACTTGGATAGGTTCATGTAGGACATGTGTGAGTCTCTAGTTATTTTGGATAGTAAATAAATGGCTACATTCTTGACCCCTGTTTCTGATCACTACCATTGTAGTGGAAGAAATCTGAGTCTGTAAGTTTTGCTTCAATACATAGAATTATGCTGAAAATCTGAACAGTAGGAATTCTCCTTTAATATGTTATTAAGTTATTGCACCCACAGCAGCTGTAATAGTGGTACCAGGAGAAGGAAAACAAAATTTCTTGGAAAAGCTCAGTGTCCCCAGATCTTTGACAGGCAGAGTACATTCTAAGGGAATTTTCATGAAGGGATAAATATAGAGGTTGATATTAATAATTCATGTACTTCTTCCTCTGATGGCTGATGCAGGCATGTGCAACCCCAGAAACTACAGCGACACCCCGCCCACTTCCAAAAGCACTGTAGAGGATCTCCATCGACCAATCCCATCGCTCTTCAGGGCCCTCACTGAGGGTGACACCCCCATTAACATGATGGTGGTCTCCTTCCCTGTGGCTGAAGAGCTTTCTCACCACGAGAACCTTGTGTCCTTCCTGGAGACGCTGGACGAACAGCACCAGAACGTCTCGTTGCCTGGCAGCAGCATCCACAGCAACTATGATAAAGGTACCAGGATCAGTGGAAAATTGTGAAGGGCTCATATCATGGAGAATGACATTTCCTTGCTTTTTTAAGTGAGTTTTATGTCTTGTGTGAACATTAAAGTTTCTGAAAGTGTCGTTCACTCTTCATTATAGGTGCACTTTGTAGTTCTACAATTACAGACTGTAGTCCATCTGTTTCTCTGCATACTTTGTTAGCCCCCTTTTACCCTGTTCTTCAGTGGTCAGGATCCCACAGGACCACCACAGAACAGGTATTATCTGAGTGGTGGATCAGTCTCAGCACTGCAGTAACACTGACGTGATGGTGGTGTGTTAGTGTGTGTTGCGCTGGTACGAGTGGATCAGACACAGCAGTGCTGCTGGAGTTTTTAAACACCTCAGTGTCACTGCTGGACTGAGAATAGTCCACCAATCGAAAATATTCAGCCAACAGAGTCCTTTGGGATGCGTCCTGTGACCACTGATGAAGGACTAGAGGATGACTATCACAAACTGTGCAGCAGCAGACGAGCTATCGTCTCTGACTTTACATCTACAAGGTGGACCAACAAGGTAGGAGTGTTTAACAGAGTGGACAGTAAGTGTACATAGTGTTTAAAAACTCCAACAGCACTGCTGTGTCTGATCCACTCGTACCAGCACAACACACACTAACACACCACCACCACATCAATGTCACTGCAATGCTGAGAATAATCCACCACCCAGATAATACCTGCTTTGTGGTGGGGGTCCTGACCATTGAAGAATAGGGTAAAAGGGGGCTAACAAAATGTGGAGAGAAACAGATGGACTACAGTCTGTAATTGTAGAACTACAAAGTGCAACTATTTGTTAAGTGAAGCTGATAAAATGGACAAAGAGTGTAGAATATGGACCTTTTAAAAAGTAATTTTTTTAAGGAATATTTAGGTGAAAAATCAAATGTTTGGCATCTTTAGTTAGAAGCTGCTAGGCTAACAGTGCGAACAAACACTGGAAATCAGTAGTCACCCAAACCATTTCAGTAAATACATGGTTTAGAACACAGTATGACTTGCTATAAGTCAACAAACACAATGTGAATTTAGAGTATTTCTATCAGTTAGTTTGAGGCAAATACATGAGAATAAAATAAATCAGAAAACACATATATTGAGATAAGTCTTACATTAACAACAAAAGTTCCTCTGACTTCTGACTTAACATGTTTAGAGGACAGCGGTGAGTTGTTTCTGTTGTCATTTGGGAGCTACTTAGTATCAGCTAGGAACCAAAATAGCTAATCAACCACTGTGGTCGATACAGCTATTACTGTATGGTTTAAGTCAAGTATGGATTAAGTGTGTCAATTAATAGTCAGATAAAAATTCATGATCATGCCAGCCTGTGTCTATTCACTCTAGACTGATACCATCACTTGGGAATAAAGTCTAATGCAGGGGTGCACAGCTCCAGTCCTGGAGGGCCGGTGTCTAACACAGTTTGGTGATTTACCTGCTCAAACACACCTGATTACACTTGTTAACTGCCAGGTCTAGCTGGTGTGTTTGAGTAGGACAACAACCAAACTGCGCTGGACACCGGCCCTCCAAGACCAGAGCTGTTCACCCCTGGTCTGATGTCTAATTATAGTAGATATAGTGTGAAAGACGTTTCGATGCTGTATGAGCTACTGCACTTTAGGCTTAAATTATAGCTCTTCCTTCTACTTTCTTTGCTTGCTGTAATGAATGGGTTGAGCACAGTGTTTGTGTAAAAATGGACTTTAATAGGAGATGAGTAATATAATGGCCTGTAATTGGAATAAGCGCAGAGACAGTGAATCTGTTTTCCCATCTCACTACTTAAAGGGCTTTTGTGGCATTTTATTTTTTCCCCTGAAGTTCACTTCTTATGTGGTTTATGTACCCAAAACAGTCATATTTAATTTTTACATGGCCATTTCTAATCTCTCTTTATACCTAAGCATTTTATACCCTAGAATTAAACAGGCTGTTTTTGTTATTGTGCCTTTAAGACTGATACATTATTGCTGTCCAAACAAGTACCTCCAAAGTGGTGATAAGTTACACTCCTTATGGATGTGTGGATATTTTGGAAGGCTGCAGTGATACATTTGCTTCCCGAAAGTCAGGAACAGCACAGTGTTTAAGGCTGGCTTTATATGGTGAAACTTTCACGCACCTAGTTGCATGTTGTGTGTTGCCTGCAACATAATTTTGCAACTTGGCATTTACAAACGATTCAAAAACAAAGTTGACACAACACACTCAGTTACTTAACTAGTTAGCCTAATTAGCAGCTCATATTTTTATGATAAACTGTATTATTCTTACTATAATTTCATCTGCAAGGTGTAATTTACATACAGCATTTTTATCATCTAGGTTAAGTTTTTCAAGCCGTCATTGCTATTTTCTACATCTGTTTCTCTGTCTTATCTATCAAGAGCTCCTTACTGTATACTTGATGGTTTTATCCATGTGTATTTTACACTTTTGTTGTCCATTGATGTGGTGAAAGTGATCGTTTATGTTATTAAGTTTATTGTTTGACATGATGCGTTATTTGCATTTTGATTGGCTGTTTCATGAAACTTGTTTCACAAAGTTGACGCAGTTGCAACTGTTACGGCTAAGTTTCGAGTGAGTTGCACATGCTTTATATTATGCAACTTAAGTGCAAGTTAGTTTCATGTAGGTTTCAGGCAATTAAAGTTGCATGAAAGTGCTACTGTGAAAAGCCAGCTTAACTGTTTTCCCCACATCCTCCATTCCTACTACTGCTACACTACTACAGGCTATCTGCAGTAACAACACTCCATATGACCTCAGCATGAATGGACGTCCAAATGCGTCCATGGCTGCGGCATCACAATCATGATAGTTTCAAATGGGCCTTGTGGCTTAGTTTCCTTATGTGGACTTTATGTAATGTGGAGTGACAGTACATTTTTCCGTGAGAGGAGCCTTTTGGTGATCTCTTCCCTTCCCTTCCCTTCCGTTCCCTTCCCTTCCCTTCCCTTCCCTTCCCTCCCCTTTTCTTGCTGTTATAGATAATCTGTGCACGGTTGTCTACTTTGATGACTGTTTGTCCATACGGCAGTGTAAGCAGTACTGTGAGTCTATGGGCGCTTCGAAGTATCGCTGGTTCCACAACGCCTGCTGTGAGTGCATCGGGCCGGAGTGTCTGGATTACGGGAGCAAGTCTGTCAAATGCATGAACTGTCTCTTCTAAAACCACGGACATGCAGTCACTGCATCATATTGGCCAACCTACTGATGGGCTTGTGTGTTCAGTATTATATTGTTGAGTATATTATATTGTAACCCTTAAATGCACAGGTGTTCTCCAGCAGTTCACACAGTCGTATGCTAAAGTTTGGACAACCCCAGTCAATTGGCATGTCTTGAGTTAACACATCCTTACAGAGAACACACTTTTCTGCAGATTTTAGTCCACAGTTTCTATTTATTAGCTTATGTGCGCAGGCCACATATGTATTTTTTATATGTAAAATTTAGCAAACAGTACATTAAAATGTGCAGAAATGTGCTCTTTGTTATGTGTTAACTTATTTTTACTTAGAAAATCAACAAAGCATGTCATTTGACCAGGGTTGACTTTACCCTCAGAGAAACTGGAGAGAATGATATGTGCAAAGTTTGTCAAACAAAGTTGATTTCTAACAAAACCGATCGACATGAGGCAAGACAAGTGGCAGTTAGTACATTTGCTATAGCTAAACTCAATTATATGCTTATATCAGATCATTTTTCAGCAATTGATTAGTAATTTTTTACTCAAGCACAAAATTATGTGACCATCACTAGAGTAGAACTGTCAAAACTCTTTATAGGTTTAACATATTGGAAAAAAATAAAATAAACTATAAAACGTGCCATAGCATTTGCACAGGCCAAATTAATGTTTTTTTATTCATCAAATAAACAGTAATTGTGCATTAAAATGTGCAGAAGTGTGTTCTCTGTAGAAGATATGTAACACATTTCCACTTTCAATTCGACAAAGCATAGAATTTTATATGGGGCAGCCAAAATTTTGCATACGACTTTATGCATTTCAGGGTTAAAGTCTGTTTCTTTTATGTTTTATTGTTGACCTGTAAGATATTTTGTATGTTTTCTTTCTGGGCACACTGCATATTTATGGATGCAATCATATTGATCCTTTACAGTATATTTCATTGACAAGCACTATGTATTAAGGTAAGTTTTAAAAAGTTTTTGCAGATTTGTTGGAAATAAAGTTATACAGTAATGTCATGTCACAAAACCTCAATAAATGACACTATTCTCTTTTGCAGTCCATTTACATTAACTGCATGCCTAATTCTATTACTTTATGTGTCCCATTTCTTTAAGATTTTGCTTTAGTAAAAAGAAACCATGTTGACCTCACTCAGCGCTGAATAAAAGAGGTACTTGAGTGCCTTTCTGAGTCACAGGTGTTTTACAGCAGTCTGAAAGGAAGGAAGAGGAGCGAGTTTACTCAGGTTAGTTCGTCACTGCTGCCCTTTTTTTCTGTCAAAGCTTTTGAATGTAGCCAGGTGCAAATTCACTCCGACAGCCAGCTGAGAGCTCGCTAAGCAGTGGCAACACTGGCACACAGTCCAGCTATGGAAGTGTGTGTGTGCTTCTGAAGAAACATAATGTATTCTTTGTCACAATTTGAATTTGTGTGCCATTTTTATGAAAAACTAACGAGAGAACGATCTCAAAGTAATGCTGGCTGATACACTTGTAAAATGTTTTGCCAAAAGACTATAAATGATTTTTTTTAAATCTACTTTTTATCATATTAATAAGAAGGTTGTCATTTTTATTGTGTTTGCAATGCACATAAAAACAAACAATATATATGTCACTTCTAAACTCATAATGCACGTTACACTATGTGGACACATGAACATCACACCTATGTGAGCTTATTGGACATTCCATTCCTAATATACAGGTATACTGACTGCCAGATAGTGAAGCATGATTCATCACCCCAGAGAACACATTTCCACTGCTTACGAGTCCAGTGGCAGAGTGCTTTACACCACTTCTTAGTATGACCCATCCTACTGCCACCGACTATGTAGACATGGCTGCATGGCTATGTGCTTGATTTTATGTGCCTCTTAGCTATGGGTGTGGCGGAAACACCTGAAGTCAATAATTGGGAGGAGTGTCCACATACTTTTGCCTATAGTGAGTGAATATTCACCACAATAAGTGTTCAGGAAGTTAAATTATATGAATGCATAGTTTTTGGTTCAGTAATAAACTAAGAGTAGATATCAGCCTCTCAGACTTTCAGGCCTCATTGTTGGAACATTTCATGAATGTTTCTCTCAGTGTTCCTCACATTATAGGCAGTACAGCGCCATCTGCAGGCCAGTTTGGGAACTTGGTGCTAATGTCTGAAACATATTCCACACTTCTAACAGGCTTTTTCAGCTTTTGTATACAAGTACTCCTATGGAGAGTCTAGGGTGCTCTAATACATTTGAAAATAAATGTGGGAACAATATAAATTACCCTGGATAACACTGTCTTTTCTATAATGTATTTTCATCCATTCATCTATTGTTTGCTCTCTGGATCCTCCATATACTCACAATCTAAGATCAGAAAAGCCAAATACATACATATTTTGTTATATCGCACTATGAAGATGTAATAAGTTCTATAATTTTGTACTCAATATTTTGAATATTTTAAACAAATCACTTGACTTAGCTCAACAGTACAAGCATATAGCTAATTTGAGAGGGGATGCAAGGGGATGCCAAAAATCACCTTTGGTATCACCTTCACCTTTACATTAAAGTCGTAATGTGAATTTATATAAAAGTTTGATATCTGCAATCACAGATTAAGATGAGAGATCTCTGAAAAGTATTTTCCTGTGCTAATAAAGTTACAAAGTAAGGAAGGCTACAGTTCACAGCTCCTTAGTTGTTTGAACCAACCACTCCTGTTTTTTTTTACAATTTGACCACTGCTTATAGTTGGTAATGGTGCATTCTTTCTCAGCTTTTTAATCTAGTGTAACCATGGAAATGGGTGTGGCATAACAATGGAAATAACTGTAGCAATAGCGATGAACATCAGTGTAGCATAACAATGAAAATGGATATGGCATAACCTTGGAAACAGTGTAGTGTAACACTGGAAATTGGTGTAATGTAACCATGGAAATAAGTGTAGCATAACAATGCAAATGAATGTAGGGTAACCATGAAAATTGATGTAGTGTGACAATGGAAATGGGTGTATCATAACCATAGAAATTGGTGTAGTTGGTTTAGTGTAACAGTGGAAATAAGTGTGGTATAACAATGTAAATGGGAGTAACATGACAATGAAAGCTGGATTTGGAAAAGAGCAGATACTGTCGCCAGTGGAAACCACACTTATGATTATCGTGGTTGTGACCACGCATTGCGACATTGTGATATCACCATGAACAATGTGACAATGCATCATGGAGAACTGGCACACTATTTATTATGCCATCTTTTCTGAAACCAAAGTTCACAAACAAAAAGCACTGATCGACAACTCACTCCTGCACACTCCGTTCGACAACTCACTCCTGCTCACTCCGTTCACATCACACTACACACTCCTCTTGCCTCTAAGCTCTATCATCATTAACAGGTTTTGCAACAGTATGGATTCAAGCATCATTTTACTTCATTCAAATTTAGTTAAGAATAAAGTGAGAATATGAAATCATGAATCCAGCAACATGTACTGAATCGAATCGTGGGCTGGGTGTATTGTTACACCCCTGATGATTATTATACATGAATATAGATAAATATTGTACAAACTGTGTCTTTCCTGTTTCCATTATGAGAGTTGTGCCTAGAAAAGTGGAATTTAATGCTTCTGGGGCAGCTTGACTTCTAGACTGCAATCTATATTTGGTTGATAAAGCAAATGCCTGCCCCGGCACTCTGAGAGATAAGAGTTAGTGGCTGCTGAAAGGTCATGGGCTGGTTTTCCGGCCTCCATTCTGCACTCCATGTAGATCTAATTCTAAACAAAAGTAGCTTAGTAGAAAAATGGCCCTCATAAATTCACAGTGAACAGCATTGCCTCATATAAACCAGAGATGAAACACTTTTTATCCAGCTGATGGCAGCAGTGTGTCATTTCCATAAAAAGCCAACAAAAAAGCATTCTCAATGTTGTAATGGATGATAAATCTGTGTCAACTTAAGGAAGAATGCAAGTTAGTGATAAACATGTTGCTGTTTTATGTGTTGATTTTTATTATATTTGATCATATTGTATGAGATATTGTTATTATCCACCTCTTGACTTTATTACAGCTTCCATTCTTTTCAGGAGACTTCTTTTCGTTTTTTCAAAGAAGTTTGCAGGGATATTTTTTCCACTCCTCCAAAGTTCAGTCTTAGAAGTTGGTTGCATTTTCTGCTTTTGACGATCCACTTAATCCCTATTAAGGGATATTGAGGTCTGGACTGGTGGTCAGTTCATTGTTCTGAGAACACCAGCATGTTTTTGTTTGGTTGGGATATGTTCTTAATTTTTCTCTATTACCTTTTCTCAATGAGGACTTTTCAGCTACACATCCTTTCAGACTCATAGTGTTGAGTGTCTTCTCACAGGGGAAGGATGAACAGAAACACCTGGGGATTTTTTCAGAACTGAAGTAAAAATGGAGCTTGATTTTTTTCCTCTCTCTCTCAAAGATGAAAGTTTAAGTGCTGTTTTCCCAATTATTTTCCATTGACTTTCCATTGACTTTCTTTCTTATGCAAGTGGATTAAATGACTTGTGCTAATGCACATCTGGACTGGAAATAAAATAATCATGGGATGGATGTCAAAAAAGTACATAGCTGAGTTGCAAAAGAGTTGTCAGATATCAATTATTAAACAGGCTAGCTAGTTTAATAGTTTAACAAACATACAGTAATCACTTGTTTACTCATGCCCTAATAGGTATTAATAGTCATTTTTTAGCATCATATTTATTATCATTGGGGTGCTTTTGCAACAATACAACAAAACTCTACATTGAATACTGATTATTTATTTATGACATATATATATATATATATATACATATATATATATATATGTGTGTGTGTGTGTGTGTGTGTGTGTATATACACACATATATATACATATATATATATATATATACACACACACACACACACAATTATGGGCACAGTTAGTAAATTAGAATTAATAGCCTGCTTTATGTAAATTGTCTTGTGAAAAGGTAATCCTTAAAAAACAAATAAAACAGTGTCTTTTTTAAAATATTCTGTTTACAAGTCCCTATTTTGTGTTAAATTTTGTCAAATTTCGTAATCCCGATAACATGAGGCCAGTTACAGTTACGACTCAAAGCCTTATATATATATATATATACTTATTTTCGCGCGTGGTTTACGTTCACTGTTTTTGATGCCCGAGGCTATTATCACTGCCTGCTATGCTCCTCACTGCTGCCTGCTCGCAGTGCGTGACCTGCTCTCTCGCTGCGCTTCGCTTTCTCTCCGTGTTCGCCCTTTATGTCCCAGCCTGAGCGCCGTTCAGCCGCCGTGTCTCGCTCCGAGTCCCGTAGTGAATCAGAAGATGGCGGAAGCTCCCCTACGGACCTGCCGGTTTTTCTGTCACCGATGTTCAGAAGAGATCAGCCCTCGCCTCCCGGTACGTCCTAGGTCTGAGCTGTGTTGAGTTAAAGCTGTGGAGCCGCGTGTTTTCTCACGAAAACGCCACTTTCTCCGCGAGTGTCAAGAGTTCGGGGTCGAGCAGCTGCTGCTAGATAGCGTAGCCGCTAGCTGGCTAACTTGTTAGCATCGTCGTTAGTAACGGCGTTAACGTTCACTAGCGTTTAGCTGCTTAGCAAGTTAGCCGTCTAGCAGGGCTAGCTAGCTGCTAGTGAGTCGTGTTTTGTGGTTTTGAGGGGTTTTAGCTCGTTAGCGAGCTAACCATGAACGTACAGGGTCCCCTGCTCTTTTTAAGGCGTTTATTAGCGGATTAGCTAGCTCCTCGGCTCCTCCGAGTCTGTGTTTTGTTATTTGTGAGCTACTTGAGCTAGCTAGCTAACACGCCTAACGTGTAGTACTACTGCACAGCTCAAAGGTTCAGTGGTTAGTTGTCAAGTTCAGCCTACTGTTGGCTTGGCGTTACATTACCAGCTCTTGGCATGTGGCGTGAAACTGAGATTAGCTGTGTCCAATATGGTGCGTTTGAGTGGTTGATTTGCGGACTGAAGCGGCTACATGGGTATGGCTAGATTGGTCTGCATGAATTCGTGTTGTGTGTATAGTAGGCGGATCTGTGGACGCATTGCTATATTTAAGCTCTCTTTTTTGAGTCCTTGCAATATACAAACACAGACCTTCAGCCTTTATATGTTAGCCACTTATCTAGAAAGAGGTTTGAACGAGTTTTCAACCACCAGATAGCTGACAGCGCGAAGACTGTGGCTTTCCTGTGAGAGCTGTCAGAGTCACCTGTTATTCTTGACACCTAAATCATTTTCTGTCATCCGGTGGACCGGTGGTGCTCTGAGCCTTTGGGGCTTGGGTTAAGTGTCAGCTGCCAAGTTTGAGTCAGAAAAGTTCCCAAGCTGTCACTTTTGGCTATAGTGCTTCATCTGTCATTGCAGTTATGGCAGTTTCAGCACGAACGTGTCTAATTGTAATGGTTGTAGGCTTCTTCAAGTGGCAAGTGATGTCAAGCAAAGCAGTGAGTGCCTGTCCGTTTCATAATCATCATATTTGTCCTTTATCCAGTCTTTTCATTAGGAGTGAGTTCATCTAGAGCTGGGCAAAACGCCTTATCCAATTCTTCAGGAACTTTTTTACAATACACAATATGTCACGATAAACATTACTACAAAGTATTGCCACATTTTAAAATAGTCAAACTGTGAATCTTGTTACTTGTATTTAACATTTCACACACTATGCTATATTAAATCCAATTAAACAAGAGTCATTATACTCTCTTTGTAATCAGACGTGCAGTTGGGAAGTGTTTTAGAAGCATTTTGTGATGTCGTTTGTCACAATAATGATATACTGTCATATTCCTCAGCTCTTAGTTCATCACATGTTTCACTCCTTGTATGAAGGATGGTGAATGGTCTAACAAAGGTTCTTTGGTGCTCCGTTTGGCATCCTTTTCAGATGCTTTTTGCCTCTCATTGTACATGGACTCTAGAATGAACTCGCACAGTATGGAGCCACTGTGAAAGCACTATAGAAGAGCTGCAGGTACTAATGCTTCCATGTCATGGTGGTCTCTAGGTTGCTGATGTTGGAAATGCAGTCAGGCTGATTGGGTTGCCAATCTCCTGTGCATAATATGGGTCCTGTTAGGCATAATGTGGGTTTAGGTTTATAACTGCTTATAGTGGTTTTAAGCTGTAGATGTAGGATGATTTTAAGGGGGCTCATGTAGGGGTGGGTGTTGAAAATCAATACTTTTATGCTACCAGCGGAATTAGTATGCCAATAAATATCAAAACTGTGTTATTCAATACCTAATTTTAATGCCGTATCTAATTGTCTTATCTAGAGTGGTGATTGGTTGATATGTGTGTTATTAAAGGGGCTGGATATTTCCAGTGAAATGCTAAAAAAACTGAACTTCTCAGCCAGATCTGGACTGTGTGGTCATTTTAGACCCCACAGTGATTAACGGTGGAGTGGCCATGGCAACATAAACAACTCTGTGGCAACAGGCCTTTTTTTTGTTGCATTTTTAAGCTTTTATTTTCTGGCAGAAGTTGGGCTTTGAATCTGTGCGAGATATCAGATTACGGCGATGTTTAACATAGAGTGGATACATTAACTGTAATGGTGTTAGTGACTAACACAGGCTGAAATTTCCAATCATCTAAACACTTTCAGCATGTACTGCTGTGGTTTGGTGGCTGTGATGGCCAATAGATAATTCAAACAATATGAGCATTACTTGGCTAAGTTAGACCAGCCAACAGACTACGCAGAAGAAGTTAATTTACTTGCACGCTGTGCCCAGCAGCTCTTCCAGTGAAAGTAAAGGAAGAGACAAAGCATTGGTAAACAAGCTCTCTAAAGCCCAGTCTCACTTGTGTGAAATAGTGGAATTGCACTTTTGCAATGAAGGCACAGCAGACATTTTTTCTTTAATTAAGGCTGTGTGTTTTATAAGAGTTAAGGTGCTAACTAATTCCCTCTCTTTGTGTGGAGTGGGGAAGTGGAAAGGAGTTGCTGATGAAAAAATCTGTTTTGAGGGAATGGTTAACATCAACATCTTCCAATATAGTCCCACCCAACTAAAATCCAACTGAAGAAACAGGGGCAAAATTGAAATTACCAACATTGTTCTTTATTTGGCAGTCAGTAGTTCATTTGTGCAGGAGCCTACAGCTAATTGTAATCAAATAAAGTTGTCAGCCCTTTTAACATCAGTAATCTGTTGAACAAATACAAGCATGAATACAAATATCAGTGTGACTGAACAAACCACTACACGGTCTTCAGAAACCAAGACTGCTGGGTACCATGCTGTGACTGGAACTTACATCTGGAATAACTGTTTTTTATTTATTTTTTTGTAAAACTGTATTTTTACTATAAATGTCTATGGTACAAAGTAACGTTATTAAAAGTTTTGAGCGATTCCAAGCCTTAGTCTGTGGATCATCCTTTGGATTAGAGGTCTGCATTCCCATAGGGTTCCTGCTGGAACAACGGGATATCTTGCAGCACAGGACTAATTTTCGACATTGTGTGCTGGAGGAAGTGGGTGTGAAGCATGCATGAAGAGAAATCCTGCAAATTATTGAATAGCCTAAATAAAGTAGAGCAATCACTAAGTAATATACTTAAACAATATGAATTGATAACAGTAAAACAATTTAAAGACTTGCGAAACAACTGATCAGGTGACCAACATGCTAATTCTTGTAGCTTACAGAGATGGCGGAGCCTTCAGTCCGACAGCTGCAGCTGCCAAACCCAGCAAAATACCAAAATAAACTGTTACGTGATTTAATTCTTGCTTTATATTTACTGGGTGAAGTTACTTCACGGTAAGCCTGGCGAGCATGACTGTGTTATTTCAGCAGAGGATAATGTATTTGTGAATAGACTATGTCACATATTGGATGTCAGTTCGCCTTGATGGAACTGCACAAGCAGGAGCAGGCCAAAACATCTCGATTGTGGGCAGGAGCGGGACAAATGATTCCGATTTTTTGTGGGAGTGGGTGGGATTGAGATGAAATCTTGCAGGGGTGGGTGGAAGTGGGACTGAGAAAGCAGTCCCGTTCAGACCTCTACTTTGGATGTTTTCAAACATTTCCGTTGTAAGAAGCTGAAAAAAATAATTTAATGATAATGCGGTAAAACCGGACTTTCGCCTTGCGTTTTTTGTTTGCTGGGGTAGAGCAGGGCGGCGAATAAAATTAGTGAGTTAAATGAGTTCCACAGAAAGAAAATTCTGAACCTGACCTCCTTGTTTTCTATTGGTCTATTCTTCTGAGGTTCACAAATTCGTGGGCTTAAAATTCACCCAGATAAACATGGTGCAAAGCAAAATTAAAATACTGGAAGTGAACTCGTTTTTCTTAGTCACTTAAAATGTTTAGTGAGATTTTTTTCAAATTATACATAGATATATATCAAGGACATGTCAAAATCAAAAACTTCAAAAAGGGGGAAAAGGGAAAAAAAGGTTTGCCTGTGGTTGCAAAACTCTCAACAGAGGGGTGTATTTAAAGGTGTAGTATCCTTGCATTCATGTCAGTTTATCCATATGCATTTATGGTGTCATATATTTTCCATTTTTGCCACCTATTATCATGTACTTCTAGTATATAAATTTGTCTTGCAATTTTGGCCCACTGTTCTATAGAAGGAGATTCAATCTTATACAAGTTTTACCAACCTGTTACCAATGTTATTGCTTTTTTGCTGGCTATCAGTAGTGTACTCGTTACATATTAGTCATTATTTGTAGCATAGTCATTTCTATCTCTAAGGTATATAACTTGCATTCTCTGGGAACTGAATAGACTAGAATGTTTTTAACCACCTCGTATACATTTTCCCTAAAAGAGTACAACTTATTACATTTCCGTTTGTTAATGACCAGTTTGTTTACTCCTTATTTCAGGTGTTATGAAATAGTGGATAATATTTTTCAATCCAAGTTCTGTCCCTGTCCTTGAATTAGTGGTTGTGTGTCTGTGTTACAGACATTTTAGTCCACTCTTCCTCTGTAGTATCTATACTTAGCTCTCTCTTGCTTTTAGCTTTAATGTACAGAGTGGAGGAAGCGTGACATTCCCTCAGGCTGTGGAAAAGCTGGGACGTCACCTTAAATTTTGTCCCATTGTATGTCTTCACAACAGCTACAATTGCATTTAAAGACTTGAGAGTTTGTGTGTTTTATGTTTGGGTTGTAAGATGTTAGTATTAAATATGTATAAAAAAAGCCTGTTCTCCTAATTCCTAATTCTCTTTTAATTCCTGGAAACTCTTCACACTTCCTTTCTTGACAGTTCTACATGCTGCAGTGTTCCCGTTTGTTCCCTATTTTCAAGAACGTTCAGTCAGGCTTGGTTTAAATCTCTCATCATAAGTGAGCCAACTTTTGTTTGCCTTCCAAATGTATGACGTTTAATTAAATTAAACGAAATATCTAGTATATGGGAAATTGTTCTATAGTCAGCTGTTCTACCACTTCTCATTGTCTTTCCACCTTGCACTATAGCTTTCATCACACTATTTAATTAAAGGTCCAAGTCATGTTGCCCGAAAATAATTTTTTGAGATTTGGTAATGTCAGGTCCTTTGCTGTCATATGAGGGTTTTGCTTTGCCTTTTTGGTCAGCATAGTGGCATTTCTGTTTGAGAGTTTTTTTTATTTGTATTTTTTTTTTTACAGCTTTTCCCTTTGCAGGCATCACTAGCTTCATTTTCAGATCCTCAGGTGCTTAGAAAAGGCCATGATTGTTGAGTGTTATCACAAAGTTTGAAGAGATTTTTTCAGTTTTCAGAAAGGAAACTTACTATTTATTTAGTGATTTATATACTTTCCAAGCAGCCTGAATCACCCATTGTGTTACTACATTTTTGTTATACATCAGTGCCCCAAACTAAGAATGGATATTGTTGTATGGCAGCTATACTGGTTTACCAGTGCAGACAACATATCACCCATCCCTAATAAGAGTGATTAGTATTCTGGACTATGTAGGCCCTTCAGACCAACTTATAAAACTATGCTTACCTCTTTTTTAGGATTACACCTGTCCACGGTGTGAATCCGGCTTCATTGAAGAGTTACCAGAGGAGAGAAGGTATGTCTTCCTGCTTTTGAGGAAAAAAAAAATTATGGTCAAGTTGCTTGGAGAGGAACATGAAGTGCTCATTTGTGTTTGCCAAGTGACCACACAGACTACCAAGAATTGCACAAGCTTCTGGGAAAAACAGAATCCTACAGTTTTTCGCTCTCAACAGGATGCACATGGTTCAGCTGATATTCAGTTCTGAAATCTAATTGTTGTACAAATCTCTGTGTAGCTAAGGATTACATTAACCGGGCCAGTAATAGAAAAATAGTAAGGAGCTTGTGCTGAGAGAAATTGTATTGAGCATTTCTGCTTAACCAAAATGGCTTAATATATAAAACTTTGTCATACAGCCTTTTGGTCTATTGCATTTTTATGACTCTGACAGAGGATAGAAAACAATACACGAGCAACTTGTACACTCATTTCGGCAGCAGTGTGATCTCTAGCCATGTTTTATTTAATTCATATAATTTAGGCAGCTGCTGATTGTTCTGATAAGCCTTGTTGGTGTTGCAGTGTCTCTGAACCTGTTTCACTGAACCTCTAGAACACAGTTCCTCCAGATTTAGACTGCAGTCCTTAAGACTAAAATCACTTTGTTTTCCAGGTCAGGTCTTTGTATCTGGAGAAGTTCATGCTGAATAATTTTAACACTTCAGTTTAAGGTCCATAATCAAAAACCGCATTAAACTTTAAATAATGCGTACAATAATTGCTTATAAGTTGCAAGTAGAAACCATAAGTAAACACTATGCATATTATTATTAAGGCTGTGAATAGTCTCTGCTAGTTTTTGAAGGTTATAATTATAATAATATTCAATAATGTATGCTGTTTGCTTACTTTTTGACCGATATAAATGTATCAGGCTATTTTTAAACTGAAATATCCCAAAAAAACAGCTTTGTGTATTCTTCTATTATCTGTATTTTAATACTGTGTGAATAGTTCCACCAGTCATGTTTGCATATAAAAATACTTCTGAATTGTTCCAGAATAGGCAAATTGAGTAAAATCATGTTGAACTTAGAGAATTCAGTCGTTCCCTAAAGAACCTTGAATGTCAGCAGCTATGAGGAGTGTTATGATAATATTAAACAAAGCATCGTAGAACAGATCAACTGCAGTACTGTGTAAAATATCAGAGACCATCCTTGATTTATTTTCCAGTGAAGGCGGCCGTTAAGTATAAGTTATTCATTTTTTAAGAGCATTTACTGAGGAGATTAAACAAAAAGTTTAAAAGATGCAGAGAAAGTGGAACTCCTAACAACCGCCTAAAACCTGGTAGATCACCAAAACTGTCCCCATCTGGATAAACAGTACTTCAGAGAGAGGAGAAAATCAAGCTCCACTGTTGCTTCAAATTTGAAAACATCCACAGATGTTTCTGTCCATCCTTCCACTGTGAGAACACAACTCAATGCCATAAATCTGAAAGGATGTGTATCTGTCAAGAAGCTTTGACTGAGAAAAGGAAATAGACCAAAAAGAAGAAAACTGGCAAACAAAGAATCTTCAGTGCTCTCAGAACAATGGATGGGTCACCCCCGCTGAGTCCAGACCTCAGCATCCTTGAATGTATTTGGGATTACTTGGATTGTAAGAGGCAGAAAATGAAACCGATTGCTAAGGCCAAACTTTGGAGGTGTGAAAAATATCCCTGCAGATCTCTTTGAAAAACTGAAAGCAGGTCTCCTGGAAATAATGGAAGCTATAACAAAGGTTAGACAAACTAAATAGTGAATTAGTGATATTATATTTAGTTTTTTAGGCTTTAGTGTGATTTACGTAATCTGGTAAATGTTTTCTGCTTATTTTCCTGTCGCTGAAAAACTTGTATTTAATGGCTGTTTTGGCTGGAAGTTGAACTGATAGGTCGTCTTTGACTGTTGCACAGTACTGTATAAGTAATGGAAATATCAAAGAATGTCAAACTTGGCTGCCTGTGTTGAGTGGTATTTTATAGTTCACATCTGAGATTCTGTGTGTTAAGAATGGGACACGTTCGTTGCCTTAGGTGGAATAGTCTAAATGATTGCCTTCTTTGTTATATTAGCATTGAAACGGATTGTTTTTGCCTCCAGTGCAGAGAATGGGTCCACATCCACACCCTCCACCAGTGATCAGAACCGTCCCCCATTCGAGGTGAGCTAATTGACCTCTTCAGGGAACAAGCAATGTTTCTTTTGGCTTGTTTCTGTTGTTATATCGCTATCAAGTGGCTTTTGTTTTATTTGTTGTATTTTGCCAGCATCATATGGGTAAGGAGAATTTAATTATGGCATGACTTCCATCCAATTTTTTGATGGACTCTTTTAGATTTATCACTGTCCTTTAAAATGCCCTTTTGGCCATTTTACAAAGCAGACTAAAGCAGGCTGCCACAACTGTTTAACTGTGTGACACTCTATTTTTATAGAAAGCAGCACAGTGTCAGGAACCACATAAGCAAGTCTGTTTGAAATTACTTAACTCAGTTTGAAGCTAGTGTGTGGTCATTTAGACATCCAGTAATTCGTTGATAATTCTGTTACTTGTTAGCTACATTAGTCTGGTAGCTCCAGTGCACGTAAAGAAGCCAGCCTAAGACACCAAATATGTCTTAGCTGATCGACTACTTTTGGGGGTTAATTTAATCTTCTGCCTAACCATCACTAATTCAGTGCTACTCTAATTTGGATCCAGTGTTAGCTTGTCAACCTATGAGTCCAACTTCATATACATACTTTCTTGAAAATGTGCTGAAGAAGAATAACCTTATGGCTCTTATTTTTTTCAGAATGTGGACCAGACCTTGTTTACCTTCCCGCATGGCTATGGTCAGTTTGCTCTGGGGATCTTTGGTGAGGGCTTTGATCTGCGGGCGGGGTTGCCCACTGAGGACAACCGTGAGGCAGAGAACCGCAGAGAGCGGGAGATGGCCTCCCGCCAGCGCTACGGAGCCAGACAGCCACGGGGACGCCATGTCCCCCGGAGACAAGGGACGCGGCATGAAGGGGTGCCAACTTTAGAGGGGTGAGGACAGAATCAGAATCACTTTGCTGGCCAAGTGCACTTCAATGCTATCATATCAGAACCTCATAATTTTTTTTTTTTTTGGAAATTAAAAATAATAGTCATTTACTGGTTAAAAAAATCCATAGACCTGTAGAAATAGTTCAGCATTGTTTGCAATAAAATTTTGTTATAATTCTGCATATTACATATATTATACTAATACTGTTCAAACGTTTGGATTCAGTGCTTTCAACAACAACAAAACCAGTATGGTGACAAATAAATGTATAAAATTATTTGAATATACTATCCTGTGCAACTTCAAGTTTACGTAATTACAAATATTTAGTTGGAAGCTGTAAAATATCTGTAGATAATTCTAAAATGACTGGAAAGTGCTGAATAAAAACATATTTATTGTATTTTGTATTTTAGAAGTAACAAACAAATCTCAAGGCAGATATGTTGACAAAAATCCTATAAATAAAAAGTTTAAATTGTATATTTAAGTTATATTTAATACATCATGTTATTTATCCCAGAAGAGCCTGTTGTTGCCAAAATATTGAACGTGACACACAAGTACCTTTTAAATAAATTCTTTATAAAGCGATTTATAAAGCAATTTCAAACTCTTGAATAGTAGTGTATACATGAGTGCATGACGAATTTGACTTTATTGACATTTATGTGAATGAACTCTTTGGAATACAAATAGTTAACAAAAACTAGAAGTATAACCGCATTTCCAAAAAAGTTGGGACGCTGTGCAAAATGTAAATAAAAACAAAATGCAATGACGTGCAAATCATTTAAACCCTATGTTTCATTGAAAATAGTACAAATGCAGCATATAAAATGTTGAAACAGACATTTTATTGTTTTTTGAAAAATATTTGCCTGTTTTGAATTTAATGCCAACAGTGTTTTAAAAAAGTCGGGACGGGGCAGCAAAAGGCTAGTAAAGTTGTGTAATGCTAAAAAAAAACAAAAAAAAACTGGTGGTTCATTGGCAACTTTCTTGGAAATGGGGTTGTAAACACTGGAAGCTGAACACATTTTGTGTTTGAGTTGTGCAATTTCCATGCGTGACATGTCTGAATGTGTCTCTGACATAACTAGGGTTTCTTTATGGTGATGCTCACAGCATACTGTAGTCATGCTGAAGTCATGAGTAGCTTATATTTGTGTAACTCAACTGGACTTTTTAGTTTAGATATGCTGCTGATCTTGGATCATGGGGCTTAATAAATTTGTTGCTATGAATATGAAAATAATGAAAAGATCTCGCTAGAAAATATCAGATTTAAGTAGGTCTGAAGATACCTTGGAGGAAGCCCTGTGGTCATATTAGGCATAGTCATATTGCATTTGCACTGTAAGTACAAAGTACTTGTTTTTTGAAGACTCAGCCCACGTTTACCTCATGTATTGTCTGAGTTACTCCAGATAACATGTAATGTAATGCTTCATGTTTTAACAGAATAATTCAGCAGTTAGTAAATGGAATCATCGCACCAACAGCTATGCCAAACATGGGCATGGGACCATGGTATGATAATACGAGATTTGAACTTTTCTTTATTTTAGAGACTTTCTACTTAAATATTCGGATTATACTGAACTTGATAGAATATCACCTTTGTGACTGTTTTTGGACTGATCTCTCTTTATAGGGGAATGCTACATTCAAATCCAATGGACTATGCATGGGGTGCCAATGGATTAGATGCTATTATAACACAGGTATGACACCTTTATAGTGACATGCCTTAACTTGACTATTTATGTTTGTATGTGTTATGTGCGACCATGTATCACAATAATGACTATAAACTTTCTTTGGCATTTTTCTTCTTTTTTCCTTTTTTTTGTCCCTCTTTTCACAGTTATTGAATCAGTTTGAAAATACGGGTCCACCTCCAGCAGACAGAGAGAAAATCAAAAGCCTCCCAACAGTTCAGATCACAGAAGAGCACGTGGGTGAGTTACACACCTGCAGAATTTGTTTATGACCATTGCGTCGTAGGAAAGTACAGGGGAAACTCCTGGCTAACTTTAGCTCAATAAGTAGCTAACTGGTATAATTGTTATCTAGGCTGTTTTCTGATATCACTTACTATTGTCTCCTTTATGAGAATGAAAGCTGAGTCAGAGTTGCACATGGCTGCAATTGTGTAACCCTGTGCTAACTGTGAATGCAACACATGCTCATTTGATTGGTTACCACAGCAAGCTCCCAGGTCACATTTACATATTATTTGCCTGTATTTATGTGACTTAAAGCTTTTACTAGGCAAATTTTAAGTGATATAAGTACATAGAGGTTGTGCAAGAACACAAGACAAAAAGACAGAAAGCTTTGATGTAAATTTGTTCTAGAGTAAGCATAACTGATAATGGATGATAGACATTAGTCTAAATATTCTTTGAAGAGATTTTTTCAAAAAATTGTGCTGAAGTATTTATATCACCATTCAGTGTCCAGGACATCAACGCAGGGGATTGTGTTGTAGAAAGTTTCTTTGCTCTTATGGAAGCTCTGAGTGTGTGTGTATATGTGTGTAGGGGGTTGTAATTGTGAGAGTGATATTGTTCCAGCCCGAAGCTCTTAACATGCGTCTGCATTAACTGTTTATTTTTTTGAAAATTGAAAGACTTTCTACCTCAAAACTTCTCAAAATACACAATAACAGTCAAAAGATTGGACACACCTCCACATGACGGCGTAGTTTTTGTCTTTGCTATTTTTCCCATTTTAGTAAAAGTGAAAACATATGGAGTTATGCAGTGGCCCTTGGCATTCTCTCAAACAGCATCCTTAGGAGCCATCTAGGATGTTTTTCTAACATACCTAAAGAAGTTTTAATTTTAAAATTTCCAATTTCAAACTCATCTACAAATTCATACAACTTCACCACTATTTATTGCTATTTATAGTTTTCTTAGGAACAAAATTTAAAGCCAAGCCTTCAGGTCAAAATTAGGGCTGTCAAAAAATTTTTAGTTAGTCGCAATTAATTGCCCTATTTTCTGAACGCTGACGTCAAGTTAGGGCAACAGTGGCTGCACATTCCAACCAATAACTGTAAATATCATATAAAGTTGTATGCAAAAGTTTGAGCACCACTGGTGTTGTGTAATTTTGTTGATTTTCTGAGTAAAATCCTATTTATTTGCTGAGTTCAACATACTGAAAAAACAAAGTGTAAAATGTGCCAGACAGTGAAAGCAAAATGTGCCAGACCTTTTGTAAAAAGCACATTGTTGTTTTTTTCCCAGTAGATATCACTCGATTGATGTCACATGCTCGTAAAGCCACTGTTTGTACATTGTTAGTTAATAAAGCATCCTGACAGGTAAAATATAGCCCTGGTGTGCTGTGTAGTTCATGGCTGTAGTAACAACAGCAATAAAAAAACAAAAAAAAACAAAGCGGAGTATGTTTTTATGGCATCCCGGCTGTCTGACATTGTGAGGGGAAAGAGGCTGAAGAGCTGAGCCAGTGAAAGGGAAATCTTAGGATAAAATTGTTTGAATAAACCAGAAAACAGGAAAAACCCACAGCTATCTACATATTCCAAAGTTTGCTTTCATCATTGTGTCACAGGTAGACAGGTGAGGGATGAATTCTGTAGTTTGATCATTTTCAAGAGGTCAGAGTTGTTCACCATTGACAACTGACACTAATTCATGATTGACTTTTGGTATTTAACTCTTTATGTTTAGATCGCTTATGCTTTAGCTAGACAATGAATACAGTTGAGAGAACAGCAGAATGTTCACAGGGCTCACATAACTTGAAGCTAATGTCAAGCTAATACTGAACCCCATCAACACCGACAGAAAACTTTTACTCACTTTTGCGGCCAAAATGATGTTTGATCATGTAGTTGATGGTCAAGAGAGATTGATATATGAATAATCAGATGATTCTAGTTATTTGTGTGCTTTTAGCTCCTGTGATGTGCATGTTGATATTTACAAGGTAGTTATACATATCTGTTACTGCTGGCAGTGTCTTGGTTTGTAAGTCATAGCCAGTATCGACTGCTCATGCACATTATGCTGACGAAATGTCAACAATATGACTGCGGGACGCTTTTTTCAGGTTTTGCGAATCTTATGTGCATGTTAAATTCGGAAGTGCAGAAGTGCGTTTCCTGTAGAGGATGTTTTTACTTTCACTTCAACAAAAAAATCAACAAAACATTTTGACCCACTTTGCCCCTTTGGAATATGACTATGACTAAAGCCCTTGGTTTCAGCTTCCAAATGATTGTAGCCTCTCGCTTTCATTAGTTTCAGTGCGAGCTCTCAATGGGAACTGGACCTTTCCTCTTTTTTTTTAATTTTGTTAGTTTGCTGCTTGTTGATTTATCACTTGAGAGCACTGTTCGGCGTAGTCTGCTGAAGGTATCGGTTTAAAAGCCATTTAAAAGCTGTATTTGAACAAGAGGGCTACAGTCACAGATTCTTTCATAGCACCATATAATGTGCTAGCAGCTGTGCTTCAGCCTGTACTACCACTGGTGTGATAGGCTAAATCGAGACAAACATGTTAATGATGTTAAAGAATCCTTTTAAGCTGTTAATTATGACAGCTCTAATCAAAAAAGACTTTATTACGATAAAAAACATACAATTAGGCGTGTCCAGACTTTTGACTGATTCTGTATACATGTATACTGTTTTTCCCTTGTAGTTATAGAAATAATTGTAGCCTTATCTATGAATCTCTCAAAAACACCACACCATTTTGCAGTCAAATGGCGTGGAATGTGATTGCAGAGGACACCTGACAGAGGAGAGACGTTTGAATGACGGTGCTCATGTTATTTTCTCAGGTTTCGAGTCTGTTTTGTGGATTTATTTGATTTTCTTTTTTCCCCCCAATATGTTCTTAATTGTTTTGATTCTGTGTGGTGTTGAAATTATACTGGTCAGTGCATGTTATTTATGATTTCTGAGACCGAATCTCAAATGGCTACTTACTCCCTGTGTATTGCACTTCGTAGGTCGTGGTTTCTACACCCAAATAGTACATTAAATGTCTAAGAGAGTCATTTGTGACCTCCATAGGCTACATGTCTCCCTGTTGGATATACAGTGCATCCCTTTGGGTGTAGAAGCCATAGTAACTCTTGTAGTGCACTATGTAGGAATTAGGGAGCTGTTTGAGATTCACTCTAAGACCTTCTTTGCTATGGGGCTTTCAGTTAGCTTAGTCATGCCAAATGACTTGGCTAATTAGCTTGTGTTTTGATGCTGACTACTGGATTAAATCAACCGTTATCATCTCTGACCGCAACAAACACCACGGGCTAGATTTGCAGACACACATTCAGCCTTCCATATTCCCTTCACTTTTTTCCTCACCATTCTTTCCTTGTGTGGTATCAGGTGCTGGTTTAGAATGTCCTGTGTGTAAAGAAGACTACAGCGAGGGGGAGAGCGTTAGGCAACTTCCATGCAATCACCTCTTTCATAATGATTGTATAGTGCCCTGGCTGGAACAGGTAACATTGCTTTTCTGCTTGCTGCTTTACTTTCATTTCTGTTCTTTTCCAACACTGCTCTTTCAGCTGACAGTTGGATTTTGTGACATTGAGACACCGTGGTTTTAGGGATTTCACTATATGCTAGCAGATGTTATTTGCTAATAACTTGACACCCCATTTTTTCTTGCATACACACTGCTCTGTTTTTTTATTTTTCCAAAGATTAATTTGCAAACAAACGACTTAATGGAATTGATAGCATAGTGGACAACACCACTGTCCCACACATAGAAGATCAGAGATTTTTTATTTTTTTTCAGGGCATCACAGCTGTACCAATAAAAGAATATACACACTTTGCAGAAGAGTTCATGTACAAAACTTCTAATGTTGCATTCTCCTACCACTGTATGTAACTCTGAATAAGAGCAGTTGCCAAATATGTACAAACTAGGGCTGGCCTGAACAGCAGTGGTAAAAATTTGTAAGTGTAGGTTTGGTGCAATGGACAGATTTACTGTGTGTACTGTGATGTTTTTTAAGCTGCTGTAAAGCTGTTTAGTTAGAAAAGAAAAGGAGAAAAAAGAGCATTTTTTGTTTCGTGATGAAGCTTTGTCAGAGGTACAGTTGCTTGCGCTTCACTTACGCTGGTGTGTCATGTCAAATAAGACATATAGCCCTCCAAGCAGTACTTGGAAAGGATCACTATACTTAGTTACTTGAAATGATTCAGTAAACTTCTTGTGACTGTGCTACACCAACCTCTTGTGACAGATTTTACACTCAGCATTTTTACTGTCATCCAATAATTTGAAATGTTTCCACACAATGCTTTGGTTCTTTTTGATCAGAATATTTGCTTTCATTTAAGTAACATATTGGCAAACCTTTTGAAGCGCTTAAAGGTTTTTTTTTCCCCGCAAAAAATTCTTTGGATGGAAATGTAGCTAATTGCAGCGTGTCGTGCAAAATATAGAGCGAGACGCTAAAGCAGACATTTTCTAACAAAGTGACAGTGTTGTGTTACAAACACAGTAGTGTTTGACTTGCAGGCCATCAGACGTCCATAATCTGATATTTAACACAGATTCAAAGTCCTAATTTCTGCTAGAAAATAAAAGCTCTAAAAAGCAAAAGTAAGCCTGTCCCAATTATTACATTATATCCTAAGTGCAGTTATTTGATATCAGTTATTTAAGATGACTGCAATGTTTTCTACAGTTGTTAGATTTTTACAGTTGTTTTATGCTGAAACAAGCAGAATGTGAATTGAGTGCCTTAATGCTAATGGCTAATTTTGCCACTTTAGGCTTGCGCTTTAATATGCATCCAATGAACAAGAAAAGACAAATCGTTAATCGCTATTATCTTGACAACAGTTGATTGTCAGCAAAAATTTCATAATGAACACAGGCCTAAGCGGAAGGGAACCTGTTGCTTGCTTTTGTATGGTTGCTACAGCACTGACTCCATTTAAATTATGAGTTAGGATTATTATTATATATATTTTTTGGGGTAATGATTGTCATATATCTTTAGAATCATTGAGGTTTAATATTTGCAATGGATTTGACAACCGATTTCAAAGAACTGTGCGCAGTACATCCTGACACATCACTGCAAGTTAATGAGTAAGTAGAGCTTAGTTCAGTTATAAACTTATCAACTCCTCCAAATCACACAGAAACCCAGTCTTCAGCCGCTTTTCAGACAGTTCTATGTGCCCAGTAAATGAAAACATCAACAGGCATGCGAAAGTTTTCATAAATCTCCACCCTCGAGAGCTGTTTTAAAAAGCTGTTCAGCACCTAAAAGCCTATTTTTGTGTGAATGGGAGGCCACAGCGCAGAGAGAAGGCTACGTACGTTTTCAAAAATGTCCAAATACATGTGGACGAGGTCTGAATCTCAGCCAGTGAATTAACCGCAGTACAAGTGATTACACATCTTGTTAAGTGGTCGTGCGTGTGTGTGTGTGTGTGTGTGTGTTTGTTTTCTGCAGCACGACACGTGTCCAGTATGCAGGAAGAGCCTGAGCGGGCAGAACACAGCTACAGATCCTCCGGGCTTATCAGGAATGAACTTCTCTCCTTCCTCGTCATCCTCTTCCTCCTCCAGTTCCCCCAGCAACGAGAATGCTGCCAACAACTCCTAAAAAAAATAAAAAATAAGTCCTCCCCCGCATACCCACACACAACCCCTCAAACACATTATCATCATCTCAGTCTGACAGTGCTAGTGTGGCCAAACAGCGTAATTCAGAACCTCCTAAAGCTTGAATACCTCCAATCCCCCAAACATGCACTCACATGCACACAGACACACACACACACACACACACATATACACAGAGTTGTCCCTCTTCCAAATCTCTTAGTAATGCAGCAACTGCTCTGGAGAGCTGGGGAATGTTCTGTTCTAGACTGTTCTAGAAAGCCAGATCAGACTCAGTTCTGCAGTTACTGGAATAGAATCACGGCGGGGGCTGAGCTGAAACCTGGCTATGATCGTCCAGAGTGCACCCTTTAAGGCCGGCACCACACCAGCGCCCTCTGGTGGCGAGCCAGAGACGCCTTGTCGTCATCATCATCGGACTCACTGGGACAAGCGCCAAAGGATACCTTGCTAACCAAGCAGAGGAGGAAAAAAACACATGCCACTTTCAATATACCGTCACCAATACTACAGTGCTTTTTTATCATTGAACTGGAGAATGATCATTCCTCATGGTTTGTGTCCATTTTTCTTTTCTTTTTTAAAAGCATGGTGGGCAATACATGTCCAAATTTGGTGATTTTAATTGAAAAAGTGTGGGGTTTGAAAAAGAAGGAGGGGGAGAAAGACATGGAGAAAGTTAGAAGTGCAGAACGTTCACAGAACTCTTCCAGAGCTAGAGTCTCACACATACCCACTCGCTCAGCCAGCCAATAACCGACTGGATTTGAAAGGCATTTTAACGGAGACTTTCTTGCATCCCGAAAACGGGACACACATTCAACTAGAAACTTTTGTTTTTCTTATATTGTGTTTTTATTATATGATTTTGATTTCTTTTTTATTCATATATCGGTGGCTAAGTGATGCACTGTATGTGAATACACATACAGTGATATTTATTAAGGAAATAAAAGAATAAAACAAGAACTAGACCAGAAAAAAAGCCAACTGATATGAGAACATCTCACAAAGGAGAAAAAAAGTGTTGCTTTCATCTCTGTATAAAGTATTTATTTGCACAATGTTTTGTTTTCCTCACTATTAGAACAATGAACAAAGATGGTGAAGCTACAGTTAGAATGAGATTGAGTGGTCCATCGAGCATTTGATTTTTAAGACTTTAATTTTTTTTAAATATATATAGTTTATCCAGCATTTTTTTAAGACTTCAGTTAAGACCCACACAGCCTGGTAATAAATGTCATATTTCCCTCATCCTTAAATGCAGCCACACTCGCATTTTTTATTTTATTATTATTACTTTTTTTTTCCCATCTTCCCATTCACATATTCAGTGACTCAGTTCCATAAACCCCTTTTTTTTAACTTATTCTAAGTTAAATGATTTGTTTTTGTAAATCATAATAAAGTGAAAGAAGAATGTACTGCTTCTGATCATGAAATGTTTTGAGGAACAAAGACTGAAATGCAAAAAAACAAAGCACACTGGTTAAGTTGTACATCTCCTGGGTAACTGGCTGTGGAGATTTTTTGCTTCCGGAAAAAATGTACTGTGCCCTGCACAAATATTGGCACCCCTGGTAAACTTGAGCAAAATGGGCTGTAAAAACGTTCTTTATTGTTATTGTTATTGTTATATAAACCTACACAGGTTGCATAACTAAAAACGGTTGGAGCAGCCATCATGAAGCTTTTTTTTTTTTTGTTTTTGTTTTGCTGTTGTCATACAGTGTCAGAAACTACATATAGTGCCTTGCAAAAGTACTCAGGTATTAGAAACCATCAGATTTGTCTGGATTACAAATGACACTCACGCAGATTGTTCCAGATTGTTATTTTTTTTTAATTGAAAACCAATATGCTCTTAAAGTTAATTAAAGTCAAAATTCATTATTTGTCAAAATGCTGCTTGCCTAAGTATTCAATCCCTTCAGACTAGTATTTGGTAGAACCACTGTCTGTTGGGGTTAGTTTCTACCCGCTTTGCGCACTGTTTGGGAGTGACTTTCACCCGTTCTTCCTGGCAGATTTGCTCCAGGTTGTTCAGGTCAGTTGGATGGCCCTTGTGGACCGCAATTTTCAAACAGTGACATGGATTCTTGATAGGGTTGAAATGCTGAGGTTGACTTGGCCATTGCTGAACATTCATCTTTTTGTTGTTTTGCCCTGTGCTTGGGGTCATTTTCCTGCTGAAAAGTGAAGTTTCTCTCAAGCTTTAATATTTTAAAAGACTGAAGCAGGTTATCTTCTAGTATCTCCCTGTATTTTGTACAATCCAGCCCCATGCTTCACTGTTTTCATGGTTTTATTGAGAAATGGACAGTGTCTTCAACAACGGCTTCTTTCTAGCCTCCCTCTCATACAGGCCAGTTGTATGCAGAGCTCTTGATATCGGTGACTGGTGCATATTCACTCCAGTTTCAGCCACTGAACTCTGTGGTTCCTTTATGGTGATTGGTTGCCTCTATGTGGCTTCACTCAAACAGTCCTCTTTTTGCTCCGACACTGAGTTTTGAGGGACGGCCTTAAATAGACAGGGCCCGGATGGTGTGCAGTTTCTATTTCCTCACAGTTGGTATTATTTTGTAGCCTTTTCTTTCTTTTCTTGTGCATGTATATAACTTTTTCTAATTTCCTTAGAATGCTCTTTGGTCTTAATTTTTAGTTTTCTATCAGATTAAGGGTCTGATCATTGGTACTTTAATTAAGGGGGTCTTTTATTCAGAAAAGTTTAATGATTCACTGGTAGAAGCTAATTATAGGCATTATAGGGCAATATCTTTCATTTGTGTTCATTTGTGAACTAGGAGCTCCCACAGTTCAGGGGTTGAATACTTATCCAAATGACATTTTTCTGTTAGCAATTTCTGTGACAATATTTATTATTTATAAAAGCCTTAACTATTTAAATTAATTAATTGTTTTGAAATGAAATATAGCTGCAGGAAATAAAGTGTCATTCATACTCCAGACAAATCTGGTGACTTTTACTGTTGCAAGGCACTCTAATTATTAGTCTTATGCAAAAGTTTGAACACCCCTGGTCAAAGGACAAGTTTTGTTGATTTTCTAGGCACAGCAGTGGCCAACCCTCCTCCTGGAGATCTGCCTTCCTGTATGCTTCACCTCTGACCAAAATCTACTTCCTTCAAGGACGTCTGAAGGAGATAGATAATGATTAGATGGACCGGCCGGGGTCTAATTAGGGTTGGTGCGGAAATCTGTAGAAAGGTACCTCTAAGAGCAGGACTAGTGACCACTGCTCTGCAGGAAGCAGTCTTAAATATGACATTTTTCTCCCAATTTCTATTTATTTGCTGGGGAAAATTTAAATATGTACAGTTCACTGTTTTATTTTATTTTTACCCCAATGTGTTAAATTCAGCCTTTCGTCCAGTGACTGCTGGGATAGGCTCCATCACCTTGCGCTGCCCTGAAGGATAAGCAACTTAGATGTCTTAGATGGCTTAAATGTGTAGAATATTTGTTAAATACTGTTCACTGCTGTGCGACATGCATGTTTTAATCAAATGCTTGTTTTGATATATCAAATCATTTGAACGGAACCGTTTTGATATTTTAGGATTTTAGATTAAATGTGTCGACCTTAAAAAATGTGTATATCATGTCGCAAGTTATAAAAGATCTGTTTAAAAACAGTATGGATGAGCCGTATTATGAATAAGAGATAAATAGATGTCAAGGCTGTGTACTGTTGATGGAGGCTAACTGGTGAAGAATGTTAAAAACTGGATCTTTGTGTGAATCATGAGTGTGCAGTTGTGTCAGTGTCTGAGGAGTGGGTTTCCCCCTTAGGTACTTTGCAAAACTAAACACAAGTCCGACACTAAACATGTTGTAGTTGATGGACTACATTTGGGCTATAAGGAAAACAGTACTTTTTGATTTTTCACTGAACTACTGCTTTAAATCCACAGCCAACAATTCACTGATATTATCTGCTAATTTACTTTCTGAATGAATCCAGTACAGTAACAGCTGCAGACTGAAGGGGTCAGAACACGTGTCAGGCTCAAGTCCTTGCGGGCCAAAACACTGCAGACTCCAGCATGCTGCCTCATTAAACACACCTAATTCAACTTATCAGCTAATTAGCAAGGCCTTCCTGAACTGAATTCAGAGCATGGGATGAGAATAAATGCTAATCTCCGCAGCACTTTGGCCCAGAGGGTCTCCAGTTTGACATGCCTGTAATAGAAAATAGTGGGTTTTCTATCCACCAGTTTTTTTGCGAATTTTGAAAATGCACAAAAAAACCTGAATGGAAAAAGGCAAAAATTAAAAAAAAAAAACAACCAATTATCACTAAGATTTTTGCAGTACGATGAGGTGGAAAAGTTAGAATATCCATAAAGGCGAAATGTGAAAAAGGGTGACGGAAAAGAGTTTTTCGAATAAACGATGACGTATCAAGCCATAAGTGAGAAGTGATTGGCCCTACAGATGGTGTGATCGTTGCGCATAGCTTTACGAAGGTTACTTTTGTCAATCTGAAATGCCTGATCCTTGTTTGAAAAGTGGCTCCCAGAATCGTCTCGTGCATTTGCGATCCCAGGTGCAACGTGGACTTTGTTAGGGTGGCATGGAGATTTCAGGCCACGTTAGATGGGCTGTTGCTTGTCCGGCCCGAGCTGCAAATAACACAGCCATAAAAAGATGGCAAATGGCTGTAAACATAATTCAACTTAAAGCAAAAAACAAGTAAAATCCCTTCATCTTGCTTGTTTCAATGCAGCCCCTTGTCATGGTACCCTACGTCATCTAAGGCTTCTTTGCATAACTGTAGCGGATGGAAACACGACTTAATTTGCTTTTTTTCTGCTGTACTTTCATAAACATTTGTGAAACGTTTGAATGGAAACCTGGCCAATGTCATAGCTGTTTTTCTTGAACACCTTGCGGCCACTTGCGTCTCCACATGTGTGTAAGAAAATTTCCCACGCTCTTCTCTAATTAGGTAGGCTTGTTCTTATCGGCTCTTGGTGTGCATGAGGGGATGAAAAAGAAACAGTAATCTGCTGGGTCTCCTTCAGCTGTCACTAATCATGACCCATTTTTAGCGCTCTTATCTTTAACACAGTGACCTCTTTGACCACCCACAGCTACATCCTGATCCTAATTGAGCTAGACCACTGTATGTTACCTAGAAAACACTCTGGTGCTCTTTTGCAGAAGGTCTAGTATCCACTGAGTGCTGCCACTTTCAAAATGTGAAACCCTTTGGGCCTAGAAGAGCCCCCTGGGGAACTCCATGATTCATTCTTCTCTTCTGCAGCATGGGAGGCTCTTAAGCCAAACGGAACCTGTAGGGAACAGCTACAGGAGATTATCCCTGTCGTTATCCCATTACATGTTTGTTGTGTGTGATAATGGGAATGCCTTCAAGCTGAATGGTGATTCCTCCTTGGCTGATCATGACACAGTTGTGCTCACAAAGCAGCATTTCTTAGTTAGCCAGATTAAAAAAGTCAAGCCCTGTCCACTAGGAGGAGAGCTAAGGGACATTTCTACAGCCTTAAAACAGGTTCCTGAAGGTTCTTGGCTTGGATGTATGGTTCTAGGAAAAACCTTTCAGCTTTAAATTATGTGCAAATTTTAAGGTTCCTCATGCCCTCATGTCTCCCTTGCAAAAATTGTTATTTATTTGCCATTGAATCAAAGAACCCTTTCAGCACCTTTACTTTTAAGACTATAAAGGTGCCAAAAAGGATTTTTTGGAGGAATACCCTAGAGCAGTGTTGTTCAGTCTTATCCACAAAAGGCCAGCGATGGCTGCAGATTTTTATTCCAAGCAAGCAGAAGCACACATGAACAGTTGTTTGACTAAGACCAGCAGATTGACCAAGTGGATTCAGGTGTGCTCTTGCTTGTTTGTTATAACCTGCAACCACAAGTACCTTTGCAGGGAAGACTGGACAATGCTGCCAGTTGCTGGGTCCAGAACCAGTTATTTAAAATGAGATATTAAAGTGTGAAGAGCCTCCTTATCATCATATCGTTTTCTACCAACAACTTTTCTTTTCCTAGAACCATGTGATTAACCCAAGAACCATTTAGGAACCTTTATTTTTAAGAGTGCAGTCCTGCAGACCTCTAGAAATTCTTGCCCTTTTATTGCCTTGACTCATCTGGTGCAACTCATGAATGTCATGAGCCCCTGAACAACGAACATGGCTTCCTCAGTTATGGGCTTGGAAACCATTGCACTACAGTCTCGTACCAGTTTGTGCACAACAGGATTTGTGCGTATTCCACACAGTTCTCTGCTTTCAGACTCTTCTGAATGGCTTTGCTCTTAAAGGCGAACAGCTGTATGTCTAGGAAAACTAGCGTCACCCTTTATCAGATTTCTTCTGAAGAGCACCTCCTCTTCCTTCTTCTCGCTCGGCTTTCTTTATCTTCCTCAAGATCTCGCGCGTCTGGCTCCTCTCCAGGATCAATTAGAATCTTTTCTTGGAACTCTGCCTTTTATGCAAATGAAGCCCAGAGCATCATACTTCTGTGTCATACCAGGAAGTCCGTGCTGGCAGTCTGACACTGCAGAGAGAGAGAGGGAGAGACACAGTGTTGTGCAGTCTACAGTCAGCAGCAGAAGCAGCAGCTGAAGGTAAGAAGTGTGGAGTAAAGCGGATGCCGTGACAGCATGCTGACCCTTTTAGGCGGCAAAATCTCCTTGGCACATGGACACAGTGCTTCGGACCACTGGACTCGGACAACCTTTCAATGTCATTGACAAACGGCGGTTCTCTCAAGGTATGCTTGGCCCCCTGGTGTTGCAACAGAAGCTTTAGGGATGACCAGGGGATGATGATGAGTCTGGCAACTGATGTATTTGAGACAGTTGAGAGATGTACAGAGGAGGTTTGTCACTGTGGTACAGCTTTCAAAAGTGGTTCTCCTATGAAGAACCACTATTTTTGTTACCCTAAAGAATCTTAGTATCGATGGTTTTTTGGAGAACCATTTTAGTTCATGAGATTTGTGAACGTGAAGAACATTTTTTAAGTGTATGTGTGCACAAAGTTAAAGTTCTGGGAAAACACTCTTAAATTGTCATTCACTCTTAAAACTGAAGGTGCCAAAAAGAGTTCTGTGCACAATGCCATAGAACCACTACTTTTGGTTCTCTAAAGAACTTTTCAGTGGATTGTTTTTTGGAGAACCATGTTAGTTCATGAGATTTGTGAATGTGAAGAACGTTTTTAAAGTTTATACAACCTAATACAAAGGTTCTGAGGACAACCCTTAAGTTGCCATACACTGATAAATATGAAGGTGCCAATAGGGGTTCTTTGTGTGATGTGTTGATAGAGAACAGAACAACTTTTGGTGCCCTATAGAACATTTTAATGGCTGATTCTTTAGAGAACTGTTTTTGTTTTTGTAAATGATATATGAGATTGTGAAGAACTTTTTTGAAGTATAAAGAACCTCCATACAGTGTGAAGGTTCTAGGAACAGCCCTTAAATTGGCATATACTCTTAAAAATGAAGGAGCCAAGTGTTCTTTACACAACACTTTAGAACAACTTTTGGTTTCCTAGAGAACTTTTCAATGGATAGTTCTTCGGAGAACCATTTTTCTAAATGAGATTGTGAAGAATGTTTTTAAAGTTTAAAGAACCTCCACACAGTGTAAAGGTTCAAGGAAGAACCCTTAAATTTGTGTACATGCTTAAAAATGAAGGAGCCAAAAAGGGTTCTTTACATGATGTTATAGAAGAACCACTTTTGGTTCCCTAAAGAACCAAAAGTGGTTTAAAGAACGTCCACATAATGTAAGCATTCTTGGAAGAACACTTAAGCTTGTGAAGAACTTCTACATTATGTTAAAAGTCATTGAACCTTTAAAAGGTTCTTTAAACTTACAATTGTCATTCACAAAAATGGTTCTTATGGAAACCAAAAAAGTGGGTTCTTTTATGGTATTGCTAAAAAAACATTTGTGGCACCTTTTTAAGAGTGTAGTTTTAATTTACATAACGCAAAGGTTCTTTAAACCTCTTCACACTCACAGATCTCAATCATACATTGTAAGTTTAGGAAACCAAAAGCGGTTCCGCTATAGCATCGCTCAAAGAAACCTTTATGGCATCTTTTTTAATAAGAGTGTGTTGTGCTGGGTGATGGACCTGGCGTTCTCCTTCCATATGTATGCATGTTCTAATTTCAAGTGTGTTCCTTTGACTCTGTATTTGGTGAAAGGCATGTAGTGGCCACAGTATAGTTTATTAGCCTATTTAGAGAAAGCTTAGGCACACTGAGTGTAGAGTAATCACCTCTTGGATGTGTAGGGTTATTTTTAAAGGGTCATTGATTGTACGCAGCCCCAGTCTGACCTATATATGCTGCCACGGAAGGATCGATTGAGATTCCAAGCAAACGATATAGATTTCATCTTCCTTGCTGTAATGCGCCCTGTGCCCAGATCAGTCAGGTAAAAAAGATAACCTAGGCCTCATCCCAGTGCTGGTTCTACCTAATAAGCGACATAAGCAGCTGCTTAGGGCCTCAAGACTGCCAGGGGGCCCCCCAACAATAACTTCTGGGTTATTACTGTACAGTTATACTGTCTAAGATGCTTGAGTAAGAGGAAAATAGCAGCTGGTTAATCACGTCTCAAAAAATAACATATGCATCTGGAGCCGGATCATGAAAAAGAAGAAGAAAAGATGAGAAAAAAAGCTTAATGATAAAGGTATTTGTTTTATAGTGTTAGTGTCATGCCATTTGTTTTGGCCTGTACAGGAAAAGCATGAGGAGGAGTCACCAAAAAAAAAGAAAAAGAAATCAAACTACCTAAATAATTAGAAAGTAAAGCATTTATAATGGTAAAAGAGCAGCGCTGTTGCTGTGGCCACCAGGATTAGATCACATCAAGCTTAAAGTTAGCTGGGTAAGCAAGAACTACTGCGTAATGAGACAGACCTCTGGATCCAAAATGCTGAGAAAATTATAACTTTATAACTGTAACTTTTTAGACGCCCACATCCATCATCAACAATACACCATTACCAGTTTTTTAAATTGTATTAAATTTACATCTCAACAGGTCTGAGGCTTTGACTGATCACACAGGTGCTTCAGCTTCTTTCCAAGAGCAGATTGAGGATGTAGATCCGCTACTCTGCCGCTAGGGGGCGGTAGGCTTTTTAGCTGCTGTGAGGAAACTGTCATTGAGCTCACCCTCCACCTCAATGACGAAACGACGGCGCTGCGATTTCTTCACTTCTGCTGATTAGTTTGAAATCTACAGTCACCTGCAGCGCTGATCTTTAAATCCTGCTTAATAAGCGGCTGAAAAAGTTGTATTAAAGATGAACTGCGCTTTCAGACTGGAGGATTAGTCTAGTGGAGTTCAGTGTAGCGAGAAAAGACGCAGGAAAACCTGGGAAGTTCGGACAAAGTAAGAGAGGGAGAGAGGGAGGCCCTGTACAAATAAGGAGATAAATATATGCCTTTAAATTATCTATCTATCTATCTATCTATCTATCTATCTATCTATCTATCTATGCATGCATCTAGCTCGCTGTATTTTCTTTCTCTCTCTCTCTCTCTCTCTCTCTCTCTCTCTCTCCCCTGTCTCTCTCTCACTCTCTCTTTTTCTCACTCCTCTCTTTTTCTTCCATCTCTCTCTCTTTCTCTCTGTCCTTTTGCTTTATCTCTCTCTCCTCCTTCCCTCCTCTCTTTTCCTACCATTTCTCCCTCTTTTCTTTCTCCGTCCTTTTGCTTTCTCTCTCTCTCTCTCTCTCTCTCTCTCCTCTGTCTCTCTCTCTCTCTCTCTTTCCCTCCCTCCCTTTTTGCTTTGCTCTTTCCTCCCAAAATCTCTCTCTTTCTCCCTCCATCTCTCCCTCGTCTCACATCCTCTTTTTCCTCCTCTCTGTTTTTTTGCTTTCTCTCCCTTCATCTCTCTCTTCTCTCTTCCCTCCATTTCTCTCTCTCTCTCTCTCTCTCTCTCTCTCTCTCTGTGATTGGTTATCTCTCTGTGTGTGTAGGTAATATCCCCCCTCCTCTCCTCTATGGAGCGCACTGAGCTCTCCTCCTCCTCCTCCACCTCTGAAGTCGTCATGCAGAAGAAAGGCGCAGCCTCCAGCCGCGCGCAGAGCCGCGTGGACGAGTCTGGCTCGCGCGCCTCTAGCCACGCCGCCACGGAGGAGGCGGAGGACGGAGAGGGAGAGGCTAAGTTTCAGCCTGCGAGGCTCAGACGCGGAGGAGCAGGAGGAGGAGGAGGAAGCATCCGGATGAAAAACTTTAGCGCTACGGAGAGGAAGGAGCAGCCGGCGCGTGCCGGTGATGCTCCGGGACGAAACGAAACGGACGACGGCGGCGGCGGAGGAGGAGGAGGAGGAGGAGGCGGAGGAGGTGGAGGAAAGACAACAACTTCATCCGTGACGCCGGAAGGACCGGCCGAAGCACCGGCACCGTCCGGCACCAAGTGCAGCAAGAACGGCGAGTGCCGGCGGGACTCTGGCGCGAGCAGCCTCCGCTCCATCATGTCCCGACAGGACGGTGGACCCAGGCGCGCCGCGTGCAACTCCACGGCCAGCGCGGATGGCCCCAGCACGCCCGCCGGTGACCGGGACTTCCCGGACAAGAGGGACCCGCGCGTGTCGTTCTCCAACGCGCCCAGCCGCAAAGCGTCCTCTGCGGCGCACGGAGCGCAGCAGCCGCGCAGCTCCGTCACCTTCCTCAAGTCTGAGGACGGAGTGCAGGCGGCGGCGGGCGGAGAGGACGCGGAGGTGCGCGGCAGCCAGGGCAGCTTCATGCAGAGGCAGTTCGGGAGCATGCTGCAGCCGGGGGTCAACAAGTTCTCCCTGCGCATGTACGGCAGCCAGAAGGCCGTGGAGAGAGAGCAGGAGCGGGTGAAGAGCGCGGGAAACTGGATTATTCACCCCTACAGTGACTTCAGGTAAGGAGAGTTTGGGGAGAGAATGCAGTCTCGCGCCTGGCGCTTATGGTATATAAGGTCGTATGATGGCGAGGCTCTTTATCTGAAAGAATGTGTTGCCTTACAGAGCTTAAATCTTGGGTAAACCGCTCTTACCACCCACTTTATAGGGAAATCAGGAGTTTGCTGGTATGTTTGTTGATGGTCTGCTGTCCAGCACTCTTACCGTTCACGGTTTCCACTCATATAATCATTGTATTGCTATGTGCCTTTACCCAGCAAATATTCACTATATACCCTATTAGTGCATTTTCTGCTGATAGCATGCTCTTCAGTGGTCTTGCTGTGCTGCCTTTACCAATCATATGAACATTAATTTGCTATTGTAGCACTTTCTGGTGATGGCATGTTCTCCAGTGTTCTTGCTGAGCTTTGCCAATCATATGAACTTTAAGTTAAAATTGGTACAGTCTCTGTTGGAAGCATGTTCTCCAGTGTTTTTGCTGTGCTAAATTTACCAATCATATGAACATTAAGTTAGTATTGGTGCACTTTCTGTTGATGCCATGTTCTCTAATGTTATTGCTGTGCATATTTATCAATAACACAAGCCACTGGATCTTGAGATAGCAATAATAGTAAGCTTTAGACTCTAAGTAGCTTTTGGAGCTCCTCCGATTGAAATAAAGCTGAGGTTATCTACTGATCATGACGCATTGTGGTGGATTCCAGTTGGGTTTGGGTAGTAAGGTTCAGCACCACGGACAGCGCAAAGCGCCACCGCGTTAACATCAATGTAAGTTCAACAGGAGTTCTACAGCCACGCTTATAATGACGTGGTAACTGTGTAAGAAGTTGTCAAGTGGTCAAATACAGTGGGTTCAGTTTGTTACTGGAATATATCTCGAGCGTTCACGTTAGAAATTGCTAATGCGGTAATGGATGCCTATATGTTTATAGAGATGATGGGTGGGCGTCAGGGAGGGGTTCTGTTGATACGCTACCGAGCCACGTTGCTATCATGTGCGTCACAACATCACAAGTTGAACGCAGCTGATGGAAATGTACTAGCCGTTCCCGTAGCGTGGTCATGTGTCAGCTATCGTGACGTTTCCTTCCGTTAACCGGCAGCCTAAATGCTTCAGCACTGCGGCTGCATTTGGGGGGGAAGTGAGGCTCAGTCTCTTTACATCCACCGAACAGTGGGTCATCAGACCACGAGTCAGACGTCATTAAGGTGTGTTAGATAATCTGAACACGCGCAGTAAAAAATGCGGTCACGAGTCTCGTCAGCCTCGAGTTATGAGTCAGCAGTGCGCGCTGCTGTGACCTTGAGTTTTCCCCGCGCGCGGAAACGGAGACTTCTTCTTCCTCTCCCGCCGAGAGGGGCAGTTAAGGGTGCGCAGTTGCTCTGACCTGTTCAGATGCTGTAGGGGAGGCTTTGGGTCAGCCAGTTTAGCCCCTATTTTAATACCGTATTCAAAATCACTGCAGTTAATCAGGTGGTAGAATATTTGCTTTAATTCTGGATTTAAACAATTACTGGTCACTTTATTAGAAACACCAACCTTGTACTTCTGCTCACTGGCCACTTTATTAGAAACACCTACCTTGTACTTCCCCTAAATGGCCACTTTATTAGAAACACCCACCTTGTACTTTTACCAGTCTCCCTCTACTCCTTTCATCACTAGTTGGTTTCTGACCACAGGACCACAGTTGACAGGATATTATTTTGCCAGTGGGCCATTCTCAACACAGCAATGACACTGACAGAGAGAGACGGTGTGGCATTGTGAGTGTATCAGGCTCTGCAGCATTACTGGAGTTTTACACATCAGTGTTAGTGTGAGGCTGAGAGTGGTCCACCACCCAGAATATCCAACCAACAACAGCTCTTTGACCATAAACTGACCACTGATGAAAGTCTAGGTAGTAGTTAACATAAACTGTGTATCAATAGATGGGCTACAGTCTGTAAATGTACTCCAGCAAGGTGGAGCTACAAATGTAAGAGTTTCTGATAAACTTGCCTGAGTGCATGTTAATATTATACAAGACAATAATAAACATCAATGAATTAAAAAATTAATGACAGCACTAACTTCTATTCTTAAAATATGTACAAAGTTTCCTCTGCTCATGGAGATCACTGATTTTCCAAAATTTCTACATTTCTGCGACATTGTTGAGACAGTGGTTTGATGTGAGATGGTTCATTTTAGAGAAACTTACCAACTTTTCAGTGGTGGTGGTAGGAACCAAGGATCATGATGTATACAATGCAAATGTACCCATTTTATTTACTATTCAGAACGTGTCTTCTGAGTTTGTTGATAATGGTAAAATAGTGGAAAACTGAAAAAAAAAGTTTTATTTCGGGACTTGCCTTAGAATTTTGCCTTTAGAACGCCCTGCATGCACCTCTCCAGCATGACTGGATTATAAAAAATGCATTTTAGACCAAAATTTCATATCAAAACAATCCTAAAACAATGTCTCAGGCATCAGGCAGCATATCTGTAACTATTGTATGTAGTATCTTCCTGTCATGGAGCTTTTAGAGGCATTACCCCTTTAAAATCCCAGGCTTCTTACATACTAAGGCTTATTATTCAGTAACTACAGGGACTACAATGAAACGTGGCTGAGCTATTCTTAGGTTATAAAAGTGTGTAATAAAACTTCAGCCTGCTGGTGGGCCCTGGCCATTTAAGTGGCTCTTCAGATATCTGGTTCCTATCACCACCACTGTGAACATTTCTGACTTTGAAAATTCTCCAGAATGGAGCATTCCACACCGCTCTAAATGACTGTTTACATCTTATACATCTTAATGGCAGAACTTGAAACTGTGCAGGGTGACCAGGAGTTACACTCTCCCTATGTAACTGATCCACAGTAGCTCTGATCATCTATTTTGCCTCCTTTCCTCTCCTCTCTTCCTCCATCCAGGTTCTACTGGGATTTTACAATGCTGCTTTTCATGGTGGGCAACCTGATCATCATCCCTGTGGGCATCACCTTCTTCAAAGATGAGACCACCACGCCTTGGATCATCTTCAATGTGGTCTCCGACACCTTCTTTCTCATGGACCTGGTGCTCAACTTCCGCACAGGCATCATCATAGAGGAGAGCTCGGACATAATCCTGGACCCCAAGACCATCAAGAAGAAGTACCTGAAGACCTGGTTCGTGGTGGACTTCGTTTCGTCCATCCCCGTGGATTACATCTTCCTGATCGTGGAGAAGGGAATAGACTCGGAAGTGTACAAGACGGCGCGGGCCTTGCGGATCGTGCGCTTCACAAAGATCCTCAGCTTGTTGAGGCTCCTGAGACTCTCCAGGCTCATCCGTTACATTCACCAGTGGGAGGAGGTAGGATGCCCTCCGCTTTGTCTGTATGGAAGGCTTCCAGTAACCTACATTCAGTCTAGTGCTGAATAAACAGCAGTTTTAGAATACTACCACATACATCAGGTCCACACAGAGAAGACTGTTGTAGAATAAAAGAACTGTAAACATTATAGTCACTCAATAATCTACACTCTTGAAAGGACACTAGAACCAAAATGAAAAATTAACTAGGGCAGAAAGATCGTTTTTTATATCGAAAGCGCATTGCAAGAGTGCAATTTTTAAATCGCAAGAACCGCAATTTTTTTTATTATAGCCTACGTTATCAGAAATGTTGTCTTAAATTTATGAGGGGAAATTTATCCTAATAACACAAAGCTTGTGAACTGCCTGTAGATAAGTTAGACTGATCAGAGGCAACCAAACCTTCAAGTGTTGTGACATCACGACCACTACATGCATGGGTCAAGCCTTAAGCCAGAAAAAGTGGATAATCTAGTCTTCTTTGTTAAAAAAATTAGTCCTGAACCTTAATTTATAGAAAATAATCGCAAAACTTTTGCAATATTAATCAGAAAAATCGCAATTAGATAGTTTCCCCAAATTGTTTAACCCTAAATGTAACTGAAAATTGAAAATCTGTTGTAAACGTCCTTACGCGCATCCTACAGCAGTGCTACAGTGAGATCTTCCATTTTAGAAACTAGGAAAACTCCATTCTGATGATGTACCTTGAAGGTTACTGCTAGGAAGCCGAATATCCTACTGCAGCTACAATGGAGAGAATGGATTACTTTACCAATAATGATTCATCAGATGCGGCGGTTAACAAGCTAAAAGCTAAAGTTAGCAAAGTTACCTGGCTAACCTAGATGCCTTGCCTCAGTTTGGCTTCTTTTCTCTGGCTGAAAGGGTGATAAACTTGTCTTTGGCATCTATTTTGTGCTAAATAAATATAGATTCACTGTTTTTACAGGTCAAGTTTACAAGTTAAGAGGTAAGAGTCAAAGTAATGCTAGCTTGGTTGTATTTATTAACCTATAGATGAGTAGCTTTGTTAGCTGTCAGGATTGGTTAACATCACTGGGATTCCCAATGGTTGTATGATGTATTCGCGTAATGCATGCTGGGTATTGTGGTGAGAAAACATTGATGTATGACAACAATACTAAATCATGAATTCTCTCAACCTGGTGAGGCTCAGGAATATAATGCTACAGAATACTGCACAACAATTAACGCATTAAACTCTAGTTTTAGGCCAGAATGTTCCTTTGAAAATCAAGTTCCTTTGTAGTTCTTTGCTTGGACTACTTAAGGAAGAACCACTAATTGGTATAGAACTTCTACTTTACATGGTGGTTCTTTAAACTTTATTCAGACTTGCACGTCTGTGAACCAAAAGGTGAAAGATGTAAACAAAATGGCTTTTAGACTCCTGATTTCTTAAATACACACTTCATTTAGACCGCTAACAAACAGCATTTCGGCATCAGCTGTTGAACTCATTTACTGACCTAAACGTAATTGGCATAATCTGACGAAATATCTGTGGTTTGAGCACATAGCTTTGTGTGGCTTGTAATATTTCTCACTCATCTGCAATCTTCAGTGAGATTTAGATGAGGTTTTGAAGCACCTTCCGCTGGGAGCTAACAGTGAACAGGCTTCAGTCAGAGTCTGTTATTCTGCATGAGTAATTGTGGTTTAGCCACAGGAGACAATGTGTGCAGTAGCAATGCAGCCAACCACATGCGCATTCCAAATTCACACTGCGGAAAATGCAGAATATGAACACATTGTGTGTTTCTATAGGACTTGTCAATACTTGTTGGGATTGCTTTTGTCATTCCATAAAAAATGGAATGTATCGCAATGTCTTGATCTATATTAAAATTGAAATAGAACATATTCTTATATATTGATGCATTACAGTTTTTGTATGGTAAGAGTCAAAGCATTGTAAAGCAAGACTCATGGTGCATATCACTGCTGTCGGAAGAAAACCTTGCATCTCCATTTTTCAGTTTTTGACATAATTTGAAAAAGCCTCTTGCCCTTTACATTGTGTGTAAATTTCATGAAGAGTGGGCCAAAAGAAATGACTCAAAACGACTTGAAAAATAAGTCAGGTTCCATTGACTTACATTAAAGTAAAGTAAAGTAGATTTATTCCTTTTCCTGTAAAGTTATCATTTTGGAGATACAAGGTTTTCTTCCGACAACAGTGATATGCCTTTTTATGTAACAACTTGCTCTTAATGACTGGAAGCTGATCATTTTGGCAGTGGGCTTTACACCATTCCAACCGACACTTGGCATTGCACGTAGTGATCTTGGACTGCAGCTGCCTGACTATGGAAATCCATTTTGTGAAGCTCCCAAAGCACAGTTCTTAAGATGATGTTGCTTCCAGTGGCTGTTTAGATCTTTTTATTGAGTGATGTAACAGAGCATATGTGATTTCTATGCTCTGCAGCCCCGCTCTGAAGGTTTGTGTGGTCTATCACTTCATGGCTGAGCTTTTATTGCTTCCATACGCTTCCATTACACAATAATAGCACTTAGAGCTGACCAGGGCAGATCTAGCAGGGCAAAAAGTTCACAACTCACTTGTGGCAGACGCATCCAATGGCAATGCCATGTAAAAGGTCACTGAGCTCTGCAGTATGACCCATTCTGCTGCCAACGTTTATGAAGTTTGCATGACTATATGCTTGATTTTATACACCTGTTTGCAATGGGTGTGGTTGAAACACTTGAACTCAATAATTAGAAGGGGTGTCCACATACTTTTGGCCGTACAGTGTATATTTTATCATTTATTCAGTAATGATTTGAACTTAAAGCTCATCATGTTCTGTTTATGAAATATTGATTTTTCTGTTAGCTTGCTGTAGCATTAGGTAATGTACATCAACATTTATACATTTAAATGAGACCTGTAGTTAGCTTGGGGCTCTCAAATGTAATGCTACAGCATGTGAGATACTGATGGGTGTTAATTTTTGCCCTCATCCAAAGTAACATCACTGATTGTAAGTATAGGTATAGCCAACAAAATTGTCATTTCGACAGATTGCAATACCCTAAAGGAAGTGTGGGGGATGATATAGCTTCTGTTGATTCACTGCCTCATAAATGGCAGCAGCAAAGAAAGAGTAATCAGGATTATTTGAATAATAGTTGGTAGGTTTATCTATAATAGAATATAAGATATACAGATGGGTAACAAATTAAAGTAAAAGTGTGAACAAATGAAGAAACGTTGTGAGTGCAGATAATTGCAGACAGCTTTGCTGCATTATAAACTTAAGCGATTAACATGCTGCCATGCTCTGTGGTATGTACTAAAATGCTGAACAGGCCAAGCTGATCTTGATGTGGATCAAGATGCCTAAAGGAAAAGATCTAAATGGTGGACACAAAGACTGCTCAACTGTCTAGAGTTTCAATAGGAACAGTGACATCTGCATATAGATCTATGGGAAAAAAACACGAGCAAATAGAGCTGGAAATGATTGTGAGGCTCTTTGCCTTAGTGTGAAATGTAAGGAAAAACAGAAAAGCAGCTGTTCCTCAGGTGACAGCAAGAACAATCCATCCACAGCTACATACAGAGAGATATTATAGTAGAGTTGCAGTGTATAAACCCTTCATTACGAAGACAAATGCACATTTGGGAGTTCACAGGTGTAAAAACCAAAGGCATTGATACAGAGATGTGGAAAAATATGATCTGGTCAGATTAATCATCATTCACCACATTCTCCACAAGTGGGAGAGTGCATGCGCAGTGTACACTAAGAGAACAGTGCAGGCTTCAGTGCTTGACCCCTATACAGAGAGGGTCTGGTGGCTTTGTTATGCTGTATGGGGCATTTTGCTGGCATGGTTTTGGCCAATTCATCCCATCAGATGGAAGGGCCACTGCAAATCATTACAAAGTTATTCTTTATCCTGTGATGAAACATAGGAGTGTTCTCTTGAAGCATGATAACGGTCTGATGTACTTACAGCGGTCTGATGAGTATGAAAATGATGCAACTCATACGCTACGGCCTTCACAATCACTAGGTCTCAGCCCAGTTGAACACTTATGGCAGAACTTGAGAGTGTACCAGTGTAGAGGTCCGAACAGGACTGTGATTTGGCCATCCTGCGAACAGATGGACAGTTTACTGAGGCCTAATTGATCACAGAGATGCTGATGGCCCTCATGTCACGGGTTGCCAAGATGACTCGGCACAGTCGGGCTTTCGCAGACACAGAGGTCGCTTTAGAACCAGAGAGAGCGAGAGAATGCAGAGGTGCATTAAGACTTAATGTTCTGTTTTCTTATCTTTATAAGCGATGTAGGGCTTTTCTAATTAACTTAGCTTGTTAATCCCTCAGTCATTTCCTTAATTAACATTTAATAAATTTTTTTCACCGTGCCTTACTCGATGCTTATCGGAAAGCGATTAAAGGCCTCTTGCTTGGGGAAACGTTGTTCTTACTACTGCTTGAACTTACCTCCCAGTGGCTGCTGTTCTGAATGTAAGTCTAGGCTGTTTGCCCGGTACAGTGTCGCGTCTGTGTAGCGGCACAGTTAGCAGCTTGTTTCGGCTGGCAGCCGAGACTTCCCCAGCTTCGCTGTTAATGTCTCCTCAGCGTTATTCTAATCCCCAGATACACTTAAGCACTGAAGTCAACATGTTTGGATCAATTATGGAGCCAGGGCCGGATCAGGTGGGCTCCATTAATGCAATAATGAGTGCGTGCCTATGATAATGATGGAATAATTGGTCATTTTCCCACAATGTACCCTCAGAGTTATGAGCTTAGAAAGACTGGGTGTATTTCATCATGTTAGCATAGTGACAACATTTATTTTCCTTATTCATTTCTTTGTATTCAATGGACTGAAACAAATTAAATCCAGTGCAAAAATCTGTTTATCATCCAACATTCATTGATCATATTGACTCTCTGTTTTCCTTTCACTGTTAAAGGAATAACCTGCTTTTTTCCTCATCTAA